GCTCCCAGGCAGAGCCCGGGGCTCCCTCGCAGGGCAGTGTCGCGGCGCCTCGGCCCTCCCCTAAGCTCCTCTGCTCTTCCCCGACGCTCCCGCTGCTTGCGAGCGCCTCGGCCCAGCGTTTCCTGCCTGCTCACAGATCTCCTGCTTCCAAGTGGGCTTGAGACAGAAGTCCCTCTTCTTTTGCTTTCATTCTCCCCGATTTCCTTTGCTCGGCCTGACGGCACGGCGCTGGTGCCAGGTGTCTCCGCAGGCGGCCTGTCCCGCGCGTTGCGGCTGCGGCGCCAAGGGGAGGCCGGGGCCGCGGCGTCTCGGCAGGTCAGCGCGCAGCCACCAAGGGCTTCACAGCTGCCCCTTCTCCCCACCGGGGAGGTCTTCACGTGAGAAAGAGGCAAAAATGCAGTGAAAAGGCTCGGGATCCTGTGCCAGGAAAGCAGGAGGCTGCCCGTGGAAGCGGCTGTCAGCACAAGCTTCACACGATTCCCGTGTCAAACGCGGCACTGTCGCCGCCTGCAAACTGCTGCTGTAAACCCCTTAGCTTCATCTCGCGGATTAAGGGGAAATAAGGGGAGCGCTGGCTTGGTGAACTGAAAATGTCAACAGTCCACAGCCAAGTTTTATTTAATTATTATTGCACAGGCAAATAAGGATGGAGTTGCATCGCGTTATGCTCGCAGATAATAAATGTAAACACCACTCCGGAGTATTATTTACTAACTTTAAATACTACTCCTAGAGCAATCAGCTTTAGAAAGGTTCCTGACAAAATTGCAGGAGCGATAAAATACATGGAAGCGTGAGACTATTTAAACTCCTAACAAAAGCTATGATAATGCTACCAGTAAATGAGCAACTCCCACAAAATATCACTTAATAATCACGCCCTGATAAGGTTTCGAGTACATATAGCCATTGTTACATGGAAAAAAAACATTACAGATCTTTTTTTTTTTTTAAACACATGTAGCAACCCAACAGGTTTTAATTACCACACCTACTGCAGCGACGAGCTGTTCCACTCAAACACCCAAACATAATATTTAGCATGTTCGGTGGTTGTTAAGGATCGGGGTGATTGATGGCATCTATTGTACCGTCATCCTCCCAACAGCGGGCGCAGCGACTGCAGAGAGCGGCRAGGGAAAGCGCGCGCTCCTCTTGCAACCACCGGCTGCCCTGTGGGGACCGCTTGGCGACACCGGCCCGCACGCCCTGAGCTGCCTCCCAAACGAGCCCCACACCACGGCCCCGCTTCGTGGGTGCCAAGTGGCTTTGGGGGGCACGAAGGCACCCAAAAGAGCCCACGTCCTGTCTCGCCGTGGCCCAGAACTGACCCCGAGCGCAAGAAAATACCCGCAAACCCCCTCCCCAAAGGACGGCCCAGACCTGCTCCCAAAGGGCCTCCAAAGGATGTTCCAAAGGGCCTCCGGATCGCCTTCCRAAGGGTCTCAACAGGACGGCCCAGACCCACTCCTGAAGGGCAGGCAGACGACGGGGGCGCTGGCACGGGGCACCCCCTGGCCCGGCCGCTCCGCATTCCCACGAGCCATGAAGGGGCCCAGGAAGGAAACGCTTGGAGCGGAGCTCGGCCTCGCTACCTGCTCCCTAGGCCACACGCCGCCTCCCGAAAATCGCAGGAGGCCCTCGGACCAGTATTTCTTGTTCAGACATGCTCCCGCTGCAGCAGCAGCACTTGTGTGAACAGGCACACATCCGTGGACGCTCACTGGAGCAGTTTCACTATCCAACTGATAGAGCTATAATTTAAACAACCTCCTTATCAGCACTGCAATTTCCAGGCTGCTGAAATATCCCATTTGTTGCAAATGCCCTACGTTTTACATACCTTGACAACATTGCCCATCCGATGCTTCTGTCAGATAAAACGTAGATCGGCACTCGTGTATCAATGAACATGTTTTTAATCCCATAAAGGAACTTTCTCTGTCACATTGTACGTGTTTCAACACTTGATTTATGAGCCCCRTAATTAAAATCCTCATGCCTTCAAGAAAAACAAACTCTGCAGYGCAGTATCGCTTTTCTTTTACATTTTGATCTCTCCTTTAATAGTGAAGAGCTCCCTTTTATATGCAACTATTAGCTATCAATTTGGCATGTGCTTTCTGGCTGCCAAGACCACAGAATATTGTTTCTTACAACTTGATCAGACCTCAGTGTTCCTGAGTAAGTACTCAAAGAGATCCATGTTTATTTACAGCTTCCACAAAGCACTGGTGCAAATAAGCCCCAAATTCAGCAGGTAAAGGAAAACCATGACACAGTCGGGTGCTTTTTATCTCTAGCAAAGCTGTCATGTCTAYCGAAATATTTTTCCTCCTTCTATGAATCATCAGAACCAAGAGTTGGAGAGACACAATTTAAAAAGATTTACAAATTAAAAAATTAGGATTTTCATGTCTTTTCCTGTAGCATGGGGGTTCTGGTTCGACCTGAATTTTAGAGAGCTCTCGGTGGGAGGAACCGACACCGACTTGAACTCAACAGACTCAGGCAAATCAGCCCCTCATTCTTACAGCACCTCTCAGCAGCGTAGCAGCTGCAGCAGGTTTCCACTTCCTAAACTCAAGGCAATTCAAGATGACACTACCCTCAAAAACTACCASCAATCACATATTAGCAGCCCTGCTCTAAAGAAACCTCTGCCACTAAATCCAAGAAAAGGAGCCATTTATTTACAGTCTAAGCAAGTAATCTTGCATCAAATCCCAAAGCCTGTCAAAACTGTTAATTTCAAAATTTTAAAAAACTAATTTCAAAAAACTAATTTCAAAAAAGAGAACTCCTTGTTTAACCCTCCTTACTGTTGAGGTCCTTGTCCCTTAACCTGCCTTTCTATTGAGTTTGGTTTGAAATGTTGTGAACATCTTGGAAAAGGAAATTTAAGGAGGAAGAGCCGCAGGGCTCTTTGCCCATCCCAAAGCAAGTGACTCTGCAGGGGTTACCTGCCTCCCTCGGCCACTAGCTACAAAGCCACCAAAGTCCCCAAACTTCTAAGTTACACAAGAATGAAACACAGTGCAAACTACTACRGCAAAATACCATGCTTGCAGATAAGATGATAATCGAACAGAGCCACGTTACCACTGCTCAGTGCAGAGGCTGCAAATCCACTCCTCAAATGCCACTTCCAAAGGCCACCGCAGCCCCATTCTGCTTCCCGGGCGCCGAGCTGCGGCAGCGCCGGCCCGGGATGCAGCAGATGCTGCTGCCCTCTTGCGCTGGGCTCGCGCAGAGAGCGGCTCCCGCGCTTCCTGCAGCTAGGAAGCCTGGAGTAAGAACAGCCACGGTTCCCTCCGTACACAGCACAGAAACACACGCGGTGCAGCCAACCTGCGGGAGCGCGGATCGAGGAGCAAAGGRAGCCTGAAAGGAAAGGGTCACCTCGCACCTTCCAGGGAGCTGAACAAGCTCTGCTAGCAAACGCAGGCAAGTAAAATGCAATAATCCCTAAAATCGAGCCACATAAKCCATCACCTTCCACCCTGCTTTCACCATTCATTGCTATCCATTGCTAAATTTGAATTCCAGTCATAAGCATCTGATCACTCTTTTTGAATGCTGGGTAATACGAAATATTTTAGTTATTCAGGAACTTAGATAGTCAACGGGGTAAATGCTTGAAAAAAAAGTGACAACTGTTTATTAATATGGCAGTAACGGCTAACTCACATATATGCCAAATTACAGGAAGGTGAAATGTGTAAATCAAGTATTTCTGAGCAGGGACGGAGCGCAGGGAGGGAGGCTCCACTTCATACTCCCCTCCTACTCTAGGTCACCTACGTTCATAAAAGCACATTTGAATTCTCGTATCATTTGGGCAAAATGCTCATTACTATTCCCTTTACAACCTTCCCTTCCCTACATATTGCTCGCACAATATATAAAGAGAAGTTTTGATCTCATATCTAAGCTGACTCACTTAAAATATAATAATAAAAAAAGTCATTTCCTTTATCACCATGTCTGATTTATCTGCACTGCTGGGAGTTGACAGCCACGTCATGATTCACCACATATTTCCATTTCCTAATGTCAGCTCCCTGATGCTGCTCATTAGCCTCTTTCCCCAGTAAGGACTACTGAGTGCCTGGGATTTCTATTTGTGTAAGTCTCCTTTCTAGGCTTGGGAACATGGATCTCCCTGTGTTCAAAGGATCATCCCTTGCTTTTTTAAATAGTTGTTTATTTTTGCACAAGGCAAGCTGCGAGAGAGAAGGCCAGTTTAGCAGCCACTTCTCTAACTGCCTTAGAAACTTGGCACGTACTGGGAATGCACCGGCTGCTTCAGTGACAAAYCTAGCTCTGGTTTTCTCACTGCCATCCCAGTTACACTAACAGGGGCTATAATACCATTGTAATACCCAAGCCAAGCTGACACTACAAAGAATGAGACTTGAATAAATGCTTTTCAATATCTCCTTCATAGCAAGGCTATGAGGTTTTATGAACCTCTTCACAAAAAAATACAACTTTTTTTACCTAGACAAACACACCTGATGTAGAAGGCACAGGAAAAAAAGGCATCTTCCAAATGAAGTTCTAAAATCGGATGCATATACAGTTRAAAAATAATAATTAGCAGGTTAAAATGTATGTTCAAAAACGTATTTCCGAATTACTACGTGCTGCAGTTCTGAACAAGAGCTCATGTCTGCTTCCTGTTCTTTTTTTCCTTTTTAAAAGATATGTAAAAGACCTGAACAGGAGGGCCTGGCAGACTATCATAAACAAAAGAAAATCACATTCATTCACTTACCTTAGACTTCATTTGAAGAGAGTGAGTTACCAATAAGCATTCAATAACGTCTTTTTACTTTCAAGTACCACACGACTAAACCTGAAGGCTTTATGAAAGAAGTAAAAGCACAACTGCACAAAAATATAATAATTTCACAACTGTTCCAAAATAATATATTGAGAGTAATTAATARAATATTAATGTGACAGCACATGGAAGGGGTTTGACTTACACTTACCTATAGGATTTCTGTCAAAAAACAGCACAGGAGCTTTCAAAATGGACTGAAACATTTTGTTGTGCAAAGTCTGACTAGAATTAACAAGAACTTGAAAAACCAGAAGACTCCTTATGATGCCAAACAGTATTGTAGCCACCGTTAAACCTGAAATTAAAAACATATGGTCATGGACTGCACACAGACAGGCACCTTTCACAAGGAAAAAGGATTTCAAAATAGAACTGAGCCAAAAACCAAGATCGTTTCTTTCTGTTTACAGCAAGAGGCCAAATTTAAGCTGAAGGAGTCAGAATGATTGCAGAATAGATACCTTGTATTTGTTAGTAGCTTTATTAGCTTCCTATTATCAATTTAAACAATTTCCRTTTCTTTGATAAAGAAACAGGGCTTTATAAAAATACAGGAAATATCTGTTTGCCCATAAAATAAATCAGTGTTAAGATCCTCCACGTAGCAGCTCTGGGAAGAAACGCCTTTCACAGGGCACAGCCGCGGCTCGCGGCGGTCACCGCGACGGCTCCGTTCCTGCGAGCAGGTGCTAACCAAGGAACACACACGGGGCTGGGTAATGACAGTCTAGACTTATTCCCTATCAGCCAAACAGGTTTTTTTTTTGCTCTTCCAAATAATTTTTCCAGAAAAAAAAAAAAAAAAAAAAACAGAGACTAGGAATAAACTACCGTGGTAAAATTTTCAACAATCAAGGACCAAAAATAAAAACGTTGTTTTTCAATTTTAGTTTCTAAGGCTACAGAAAAGGCTAAGTTATATAATTACATAATACATATACGAAACTTGAAACCTTTTTCTACCTGTTTTCCAGCTTGACGTACAATTTTCTGTAAGCAAATAATTACTTTCTGTTCAATTATTGCAAATATATCACTGTGACATCATTTCAATCCCRAATTAACTCTTGCTATTCTGTTATGTAAAAAAAAAAATTGCCTTAAATTATAAAAATTTCTGCAATATGGTTTAGGTTATACAGCCAAAGAAGGCCARGTCTGGCATTCTTAATCAAACTGTGCAGTCCACTGGAACTGCTCACAAAATAAGACATTATACAGAGCAAATAAGAATGAGATTAGCTGGCTCCTAAGTTGGTGTTTCTCAGGTCAGCACAATGTTTTCTGTCAAGTGCCCAGGTCACATAGATTCTCATTAAAATACACAGGTATTCTTTATATAAACATAAATGAAATAAGTAATAAAAAACTCGGACAATGTTCTTCTGGCACATCACCTGTTTTCTCAGATCACCCATAACAAATTTCTGATGGAGATTTATATGCCCTACAAACCTGTAAATGACTAGAAGTTAACTGCTAACTGGCTAGGATCTGAGAGAAGCCACATTTCTACACATTATTTTTCTATTCCCATTCTTACTGTCTTTCAAAATAGTATTTTAAGATGTTTAAATAAAGATTGATGCCTTTTCTGGGATATGCAGAAGCATTTACCTAAGCCCTACTGAGATATATTAAAATGGTTTATTTTAAATCTTGATTTGCATACTGATCTGGAATGTTTTTAAAAAACTTCAGGCATTTCAGGAGGAATRTGGCCATGCCAGGTTTTAAAACAGCAGCATTTTATATAAACAAAYTGGAACACTGAATTGCAGAACGAGAATCAATTTCTAACACCTCTTGCTCATCCATATAATGACTGAAGGTTTAGCTGAACAACCTATTAGTATAGACAATAACCACAAGTTTATGATGACTGACTGTTTGAATACTCCACTCCCAGTTTATTTTCAAAATCCAGGCAAAGCCAATTAACAGTCTGCATTCAACCTATTTTTCTTTTCTGTTAGATATTCTTTTCTTTATTTATTCCAATTAATTCAGTCAGGAAAAAAGGCCCGCGCCGCTATGAAACATTACCCAGTCACTGTTAGAAATCCCATTTCCCCAGTGCCTTTGCTGTGCACCTCTCTAAACTGCCTATTAGAGTAGGTCAAACAACAGGTACAGTTTGTATTAAAAAAAGCTGTATACAAACTCGTATGTGCATGTGTAATTACCTGCATATATTTCTAAATAAAAGTTAAGGTCTAGATGTTCAGTCTCATTTCCTCCATTATTCCCATTTGTTGTGACATTCAACTTCTCCTGACTGTTCGCCCTGTGGAAATGAATACACGAGATAATCATCAAATCACATTTTGCAAATATTCATACACACATACATACATTTAACTTCTACTAGATTCAACTCTGCTGAGACCTTTTGCTTAAAGGATCCCATGCACTTGATGCTGTTCTGGATCACACTGTGAGGAGAAGCTATCAGACCTTGCCAGAAAAAGTCTTCAAAAGTTTAAATTTTTCCCCACAGACAAAATAAGAGGAGACCAGAAAAGAAAGCTGAACAAATGCTGGTTTTTTTTTCTCTCTTAGCTACATAACACTGATTCCTATTAGATAAAATGCATTTGACTGGAAAGGCAGAAATGGCCGAGCAGTTATCATTAACTTACCAGTAGGAAAGCCACCAATCCTGGAGCACGTATGCCACCTGCAGTAAAAATAAATAAATTAATTAATTAATTAATTAATAATCACTTTGAAAAAATTAAAACCATCAGAAATTTAAATTTCCTTAGCTCTTCTTTTATGTTCTCTGGGAAAACATCACAGATTCATAAAAGTATGCCATCCAGTCTTTCAAGACCAGCTGCAATTTGCAAAGCACATTAGAAAGTGCATTAGAACCCTCTACAAAGAGAAGAGGTTACCTTGAATTACCTTACTTGATAGGGAACTAAAGGAAAGCAATACACTTAAGCAAACAAAATATAGCAGCTTTCCTTACCATATGTTAATTGCACATTAAAGAACTTTTTTTTCAGTTCCTAAATTAGCAACTAGAGATATTCCAAAATGCTTTTTGATTAACAAACTTTCTGATGTTACCAGTCCAGAAATTTGTGTTTGCAGGAGATAATTATTAGCAACAGTGTTGAGGGAGGAAGAGAGAGAAGAGGAAAAAAAAAAAAGGATAAGAAAACTTATTGCCACTTTTCCTTCTGCACCCAGAGGTGACTGTCAACTTGTAGTAGGGTTATTTATCTCAAGATAAACCTCTGTTTGATTGAATTAAAATTCTGGATGGTCTACTGCAAAGATCTGATCATGCTCAGTGACCTTTCCAAGAGACTCGTTTCAAGGACAATCAGAAAGGAAGTAGTGTCTCACACTCACTATTTTTAAAGCCAAGAACCAGCAGTCATTTCCATGAAACGAGTCTGAGGTCCCTCATTAAGAAATAGAGAAAAAAGCTACCCACTCACAGCTTCTTTAGCTCACCATTTCTTTCAGTGAGTTTCAAATATATTTTGATTGCATAATAAAATACTTTTTTTATGTATGTGCTACATTTTGCATCACACACAGCATATTTCCCCATCCTCCTCCTTGTTTTCTTAATCTGTTTAAAAGTGACCTTCCTTCTAGTTCTCTTATTATTATCAGCCAAAGAGGTTTCTTTGTCAAGCACTTCTGTCAGACTCTATCCTCCTACACCCACCTTTTTTTGCCTTCCCCACCAAAAACACTCTTTCTTCAGATTTGTTAAGACTACTTCTTGTACAGTAATTTTGTTCTGTATCTCTGAAAACTAGACAGGCTTATAATCCCTGTGCTGTACTGACAGTAAAATAATCTTAATGAAAACATTAAGACTGTTGAATGAAGACGAGTACAAAACAGCTCAATGCCATACAAAAATATGACTGGGTATGCTACAAAATTACTAGATAAAAAAAGCATGATGTTCTCAAATATTTCAGTTGAAATGAGGATACTATTTTTAAACTAAACTTTACGCTTAAAAAGAAAAGACAAAATCAGAATACTTTCATTACTTGTGACTCCAGCCAGCTTACCTGTGCCAAAATATTGAATAGTACAAGTATAAAAATTACGAAGTAGTTTGCTCCTGCAGAGAAATATTTTCTGTAAACCTTAAGGCTTATTTTTCCTTCAGAGCGGCTCTCCTCTGGCATTGCGGCCAGTGCATTTTCAACCTGAAAATATAAGGATATAAAAATAAGAAACAAAAAACAGAACAAACAAAGTCTCAGTCTTGTAGTTACAGATTCAAAGTAAGTCATTTGAAAGTCACAGGTCAGAATTAGCAAGTAAATAGGGAGATAAAGTGACTATGCATGTAAAAAGTTTAAACATCATACAAAAAAAAATAATCTTAGTGCAATAATAGCAAAAAAATCTAAGGTGTAAAATGTCACTGCAGTGATTTTATTTTGCATTCCATTCATTTRCATTTCTAGTTAAGCCATATGCCATGCCTTAACTTACAACCACCAATACTTGCCCTGACACTACTGCTGTTGCCTTTTTTCTTCTCTTGTACGTTGCCATCAGTCAAAGGGGCTCCGAAAGCTAAGGCTGTGCTTGGGAAGTGTTTGCACCACGAGCATGTCTAACCTTTGCTTTTCAGGAAAGCATTTGAAGTCAATGCTCTTCTGAAAGTCTGCAGYAAGTCTAATTGACACGTGCCTGGTCTCAGAAACCAGCTACAAAGTTTTCATCACCTCTTTGCACGTACAGCTGCAGGCAGTAACAGGCAAAAGTAAAATGCTACATGATGTATTAAGCAGCAATGGACGTGGGACTGGAGGACAATGGRCACGGGAGGAGTAAAAAGGAAAAAAATTAGATGGGCATGAAGAAGACAAAAGAGCTACTCCAATGAATAAATACTCTGAAGGTATTTTACAGTATATGTGACAGAAAAACTGGTGTCAGTTCTGTGGACATTTAATATCTGACTGTGTTGTCAGCAGACACAGCTGCACAAGAGCAGTGGACTCAACAGATCTGACTCACACGTGGAAAGCAGAATCTCACCTACTTGCCCATAAGAGCAGAGCAGCCTATCCTGCCTTCAGCAGCACTAGAGCTGTCAGATGGAAGAGAAAGAAAGTTTGGCACACATTGGTCTCTCAGTGGCTTTGAGAAGAACAGAACAACAGAGTCACCACTGAGACATTATATACCAGATCAGGGATTAGTGCTTTCTATCATAAAATGTTCTTCCAAAAAAGTATGAAAAACAAAAAGCTAGGGAAAAAAAAAAAAAGGAAGAAAGAAGTCAGTGGCTTTTTCCTTTTCCCTTTGCATCCTCATGGACACAGAGGCAGCGCCTCTAGGCGCGGAGCCGTCGCAGCTGCTTTTGCAGAACGACACGCGCTGCTTCCGACGGCAGGGCGCTGGGAGAGCAGCACGGGGCTCCTCGGGCACCCTCACGGAGCCACCACCATCACACGGACACGACAGCGCCAGCCCTCCACATGGGGGCTCTACATGAAGCCATGGCCTTGGGCTTCCCTCAGGGAGTGCTCACAATCACTGATATGTGATCACCAACCCTTCAAATGGAGGCTCTGGATGAAGCCACGTGCTCCCGCCGGAGCTCAGGGTTTCGGGGCAGGCACCTGCACGCACCTGCAGAACCCGTCTGCATCACACGCTACGGGGCTCTGTGTGGCGGCCCGTGTGGGGTACAGGAAGGCCAGAGCAGGGCCCTGGGGTCCCCCCGCCACCGTGGAAATCCCGTTTCCGGATCCAGCAGGGCTGGCGCTGACCCTGCGCTAACAAATGAGGCTGTGCCCAAGGCTGCCGCCCCGCCAGCGCCGGGCGCGTCCGCGACAGGCAGCCAGCAACCGCCRAAATTCAAACGCAACGGACAGAAACCGCCGCGGCCGCCGGCCTCGCAGCACCGAGGGGAGCCCCTCCGTCGCGCACTCACGGGCGGCTGCTCCGCTGCTCCGTCTTTCTGCGAGTGCACCGAGGAATCCTGGGACCAGACGGAGGACTCGGAAAAYGTGCGGTTCCTGGAGGCCTTCAGGTTGGGGGTGCCGGGCACCGAGGGCTGTTCTCCCTCCTCATCTTTTTTCAAAAGGGAAGCAAAGTCGATGCCAGATCTCAGGAACTCTGCATAGGTACCTTTCCCCACCATCTTACCCTACAATTAATATAAGCTTTGATTATCTTCATTATACACTTCCTGTAAGGACATTTTTTCCTCCCTATCCCTGATGCAGAGGTCACGAGCGCCGCAGCCCTGCCCAAATCCCGAGGCAGTATCGCAGGTGAAGCCTCTTGCTCTCAGTCCCTCCTCGGGAAGGGCAGGAAGAAGCTGCCMAGCGCCCAGCCCGGCCTCTCCTCCCAGCAGCTACCCAGGCCACCCAGCACATGGAAGGGATGCCCCAAGCGCCGGCCGCAACCAGGAAGGGCAGCGTTGGAGAGGCTGCACAAGCCTGCCACGTTTTGGGCAGGCAGGATTTCTCCTCCTGGCCGTGAGGATTTCTATACTGCACAAAGTGGTGGTGGCCACGGCTTGATGTCTTCTCAGCCTTCACAGAGGGGCAGCACAGAGTGTGCACACATCTCACAGCCACCCCACCCACCTCTGGGAAACCACTGCAACCTGCATTGCAGCCTAAAAAGTACCTAATGTCTTCTTTTTTTTTGCAATTTTACRATACATCAGAAGTCATCTGAAGAACTTCACCATCCAACCTTAAAAAATAGTGAAAATCCTTTCGTTTTCCCACACACACCCTCAAACATCTGGTAAAACAAAGCTTGAAAGGGAGCAGCTTAGCTGAAGGACTGCTTGCTTCAAAGGTAGCTGTGACCAGTTCTCAGCCTTGATGAACAAAAGGGGCCAGTTGCAAAACCAACATAGTTCTCCCCAATTCCGCCCAATAGTTAAAACTATTTCATTTTTGACCTGTAAATACATTTTTTCCAACCTTAAATTACAAAGCATTATTAGAAAGGATGTAAGATTTATAGAATAGACACTGATATCACTTACATCTTTTAAGATGAGAATCTGAGATGCAGCACGGAGATATTGCAACTGGTGAGTCACCAGAACAAGGACCTTTTGATGTAAGGCCTGACAAATACACCTGCAAAGAAGCAGAAAAAGAATTTTTAAAATTAGATTAGTGTCCCAAGCATTTTGAATGTTTCTAGAAAACTTCTTGCATGGCCTTCAAAATAAGAAAAAAAGTGCCACACATGCTTACTGCATTAATTGTAATGCTTACYAAGCATATTCCTTACTTAACTTTTTAAGTTTTCAAAACAGGAAAAAGAAAATCCAGTTTTATGGCTAAAAGTGGAAGAGAAAGAATCCTAAGAATTTTTCACAAATAGTGTATTAAACTTCCCACTAACAAATATACATAAACAGGATTACAAACAGCAAAATTCACCAAAATGACACAGAAAGAAGCAAAGCAGGGCAACATACTATGTGTAATTATGGCAAAATAAAGGAAAACAAGTACCTTGAAGAGTTTACCAACAATGATATCATATTGCTCATTGTTTTTCATTGCGTTTCAAGGTGTTTCACCTTGTCCATCTGCTTAGCTCCTGACATACAACTKCTAATATCTATTTTATCACTCCTGCAAAGATTATAGGAAGTAATGCACAGTAAAGTAGTTGATTCCAGTACTACCCAGCATCAATAACTACATGCACAAAATATATTATATAGTTGCAAATAAACTATGTGGTAAAATTAARTTAAACACAACACTTGCTAAACAACAATTGCTAAAACATTTTTATGACTTCTACTCAGCACTCAGGAAGCACCTATAAACCAACAGAAAGGTACTTTGGTGAACCAGACAGCAAGTAATCGTGACTGGGGATTTGCAGCAGCAAAATACCCAGCTGCTGAGCAGCTCTCCATATTCCAGACTCCTTGTGGGAACATAATTTGGGCTCCAGACCCTTTGGAGCCCTCACTGGATCATGCCACATGAGAACTGGAGCAGCAGCTTAAGATATGCAAGAAACCCTTCACCAAAACATACCCAGAGACTTGGAAAAGGATCTGGGGAGCCCCCAAATTGAGATTTTCCTAGAAAGAAGCTACCCAAAGAGAAAATGCCGGGTATGGGCTGTCAAGGGATCAAGCCTCCCTTGGGCAGCCCCGCAGCCTGCACTGGAGCACTCCCTTTGTGCAGGCAAGACCTTGTTGAACRGCTTACTGGCACAGCCACTATAAAACCTAATGGCTGAAAAACCTTTAAGCCTTGACAATTATGAGTCACCGTGAAGTCACCGCACTTTAAGCTGTACTTGGAAAAAAAATGGATYACCACAACATCACAGCAAACCAATTAGATCTGTTAGGGCTGTCAGCACAACACCCTAAGTGATCTTGAKCTCTGCATAGAAGACAAAACCGACCCCTGCAGACGCCAACTCAAACAGGAACTGCTAAGATGTATCAGTATACTCAAATAAAAAAAAAAAATCTTGATTTGATGTCTATCTGGGTAGGAATAAACTAGTGAACAGTTCGCTGATAACACCTGAGTAGAGAAACTGTTGTCACAATTCAGTGGTATGAACACAGGGAGAAAAAATCACGACCGAGTGGATACTTACATCTCCTACTGACTTRCACAGCTCGCCGCTCTGACAGCTCACTACAAAATTCTGCCATTGCAAATACTGTATCATGCTGAAACATGAGACTTGCAAAACTCGTAAAACTCTAAACAGACACTAAACATCTGCTTGGATGGGTCAAGGTATTTGAGCTTTAGGCATAAGCGTTTTTTACCCTTCCCTCAGCCGCCCGAGCGCAGCGCAGGGAGCRCTGGACGAGGAGCAGAGCGTGAGGAAACCTGGCATGGAGCTCGGAGGCACTGGCAACCCCCACGACTCAAAGGGTGGTATTAACTCTGAATGGGTATTAACTCTGAAAGGAAACAACAACAACAACAAACCCCAACACAATCCACAAGCATTAGCACTGTTCACTGCTGTAGCTCCCTAAGCTCCAGGCGCATGGGATCTGGTTCTAAAAATACAAGTCCACATGTTTGAAGGAAAAAATCAGCATTATTGTAGGTGCCCGATTCCAGGGGAAGCACCATCTGAGGGCGTCCCACTTGCTTCCTGCTTATGCAAAGGAATTACAGAAAACCTGCCTTAGGAGGTGGGGAAAACCTGCTAAAAGTGCTCAGATTTCTGCTCTGGAGTGCATCCATCTTCCTGAGCTGCCATTTAAGACCCTGCAAAAGTAGGAGATTTTCTTGTTCCTCTCTTTTTCTTGGAGGGCTGGCTGTGTGCATCAGACTCCAAGTACATCTGCTTAGTGACAGCAGGACCAAATGCTGCACAAAATCAGGAGCCCTTGGCACATTCACCAAGCACACACACATGCCCTGTCCCATACACACACACGGCGAGGACAGAGGCAGGCAGGAAAGAGCCTAAGGTTCTTTAGCCYGTTCAGCATGGGGAAAAGGGGGTCGCAGGGACTGGGAAAGGCCCAGGCCTCTTCCCCAAGGAGAATCAATTTAAACTTAAGCCACTCCTGACAGACACTAGAGGACCATGTTCTGCTGCTCTGTTTGTGAGGCCAAATGGAGAATTTCCTATTTTCAGTCCTTGAAATTCCAGAGAGATCCCTTGTAGTCCAGAGAAAATACACCTTTGCCATGACTTTTCTCCTCTGAAGTCTGAAACTCTGAAGCTTTGGTCTTTTGGTGCAATTTAAGCCTAGTACTTTCCAAAAGAYAGGAGATAGTTTATGCCTGTGTGCAGCATCCCTTTAATACACTAACACTTGAGATTCTCTTTCTGCCTTCTCTATTTTCTAGACCAAAACCAGTCCCCAAATAAGGATTCATTTATCTCTGAGAAGTGAGAAGTAGTTTTTTTCTTTTTTTYCCTCCTCCCATACAGCTGAATATGCTTTATGGGTTACACTGACTGGACTGGTCTCCATCTCTTCGGAAGTGCAAAACCCCMCACTGGATACGTTATTATCATCATGCTGAGGCCTTACAGGTACAAGGTGTCACAGGGGGCCTTGCTTTACCCATGGAGCGGGATGTAACGCTGCAGAAACGCCAGGGCTGAGCTTCCTCGCGGAGCAGCCTTGCGCTGGACTGGGCTCCGTCCTCATCCTCACCTCCTTCCCGCCGCACACGCGATCCCTCCCAGCGCACGCTYGCGCTGAGCCCACACGCTGCACTTATCGTTGCACGTTGCATCCACTGCATCAAGACGACTCAGATCAACCCTTCTTAAACCTCTGGCCTCCTCGAGGACGGCCCAAGGCCCCGTTCGGTTTGGTATCACCTGCAGCTAGCGCAGCAGTGACCCAGGGCACCAAGYAACACAGCGCAGGGCGTCCTCACACTTGAAGAAATGACACTCCTCCCGTTTGACCACAGAACAGGAACAAATTAGCAAATCTAAGCAACAGGATGCTCTTATGAAATTAAAAAAAAAAAAAAAAACATGCATTTAGACAGCAAATTTCTGTACAACTTAAAAAATCAGCTCGAGCTCTGATCCTCTGACCCCGCAGGGCAAGAGGCAGAGGACACTCGCTAGCTGGGGCCTGCAGGAGCACAGCACCTTCTCCACGTGAAGCCAGGCCCAGCCTGGCACTTCAGCGCACACAAATCCGCATTTGCTCCCTTCCTAATCAGGTTCTATGTCTTTGAGACAAGTTGTTCTTTAATCTTTTTTCTTTTTAGTTTCTATCTCTAAGAACCAGCTTGCTTTCACCTCTGCCGAGTGTTTCTTCTTTTTCGATGCTACTTTCTGCCTCAGCATTTTTTCGCCTCCCCTTTTTAGAAGCTCACATACAAGCTTAACTTTAGTCAATAYTTGTATTTGAAAATACCCACTGAAATAAACTTAAAGCACAAACAGAAGTGCTCACAGGTATAAAGTCTTTGTTATATTAATTTGCTTACTCCTTTTGCTTCCCTCTTTAGCTCTAAATTTGAGCACTTCAGGGAAAAYCACCCCTCATCTGCTTTCCTGTATTTTGGAATGTAGTGATTTTCAGAACAAACTATACAAGGCGTATTTGCAAGAGGCACTGCCAGCACATCTGCTYCCATACGCTGCTTCTGTTCCTCTATGTTTCTCATGCCAAACTTGCATTTCTACCCCGTGACAAGACCCAGCCTCTATCGGGCTGACACAGAATCATGCCAGGACGATCACACTGGAAAAAAACAAGATCCACCTAATGCCACGGGCTGTCCAGGCAACACGAATCTCTTATTCATTTTCCCTGCTGTAGCATCCCTGCYTCTCGTGCCCTTCTTAGACATTGCTCAGGGTGCACTAAGGAAGTCCTCTGATCCCTGCGCCTCACACTGCGGAATTCCTCTCCCTGCTTTGCAGTCCCCTCACTTCTCCCTCACCTTTTGTTGCTATTTCGAAGGGAAGCTCAGCTACAAAATCAGGCCCGTCTCCTTCCCTGGGTTGCAGGGAAACTCATGGTTACCTCCAACAGCGAGGGAGAGGCTTTGTCTTTCTGAACACCTTGCCAGACTGCCAGAGCATCCTCTGGTCAGCCTCAACTGCGGGGTATCCAGTGATCTCCTGCCCACTCACATGGTCCCTGAGGTCACCCCTGATGCCAACCAGCTCCATCCAAACAGAGCCTGACACCCACTTACCTCACTTGGAATCCATCCTACAGCACTACCCTACTACTGTCATGCTACTACATCCACTTAGTGCTGGGACAGACACAGGGTTTTGTCCTCTAGCTTTTCTCTGCTACCAGAGGCAAAGTGCCACACATTGAAACCAGCTTCCAGCTGACAAAGACTTGTGGAATCCTGCTGGATAGTAGGGATGCTCCACCTGCACCACTCCCAATCATCATAGCAAAAACACATCTCATTCAGAAGGAAGCCCAATCTGTCCTGCAATTCCATCTCCTTTCATGAGTGCAGAAGAACAGAATGAAGCTGCAGAACTCATCAGCTGTGACTGGCACACTGCTCCATCTCAGGAAAGCTTTTGAGGRAAGAACAATTCCTAGAGAAAAGTGTTTCTCTCAATACAGTGCTGAAAAAGATCCCATTCTTCAAACAACCATTTCTGAGTCAGCATCACTGATAGGACCCAACTGAAGATCTATCCAAAAGTGATCTGAAATCATGTCATTTACCGGAATGTGTTAGAAAGACCCACAGGGAGAACACACAATTTCYTGGGATCCAAGCACGACCAAATGACTGTCTTGAAACACCACGGGCTACTCCGAAGTTCATCATGCAAAAGATCTGTATGACCACAGTATCTGTGCGTGTGTGTCCCTCATTTTAGATCTGAATGATAAAAAAAAAAGCAGATGTTTCAAAATATCTCATTCCCTAACAGTTAATGAAAAGAGATATATAAAAGATGAAGACACAAAAGAAATAATCCTACTCGAGCTCCCTGTTGGGAAAGGGCTGAAGCTTCTCTAGTGTTAAATGTCAGAGAACCCACAGGAAAAAAAGGCTATAAATGACACAAAAATCTCCAGTTTATACCTTATTAGGCCCCAAGGAATCTGATTAAGGAAAATAAATCAACTGGAACATAAGCTTTGTGTGTTCCATCATTCATAGAATAACTTGTCTGTATTATGAAGAGTTTCTTAAGAGGCACAGCAACATGAAGAATATTGAGGACTATTTTCCCACTGGAGCTGTACTACTCGCATTCTTTCTCATCTGAAAAGTATTTATGTATTTTAACCCATATTTACAGCAGGAGCTGAGCAGAAGGAAGAGAAGCAGCAAATACAACCAATCAACCCTCACAATCCACAGCTTTAAGGTAGGAGCATACCTGTCTTGAGACAGATACGCATAGAAAAGACACTTCTAAGAAATTAAACATGAATATAAGAAGAAAAGAAGAAATAAGAGGAGGGGCACAGAACAATATCCATTTCAGATTCTCATTAAACAACTCTCTCTCTCTTCCATCTCAGCCATTGTTCCAGGCCTTGCGGTTTGGATTCCTAGGGGCAGTGTCTATGAAGTGGCCTCTCAGACATTCCTCAGCGCGGTATTCTGAGAAATCGTCCTTGCCCAAGTCTTCTCACATTTCTTGCACTGTCCAGGAAGCAGAGCACATCAGAAAACATGTTGGTGAAGGCCATACACGGAACAAGATGCTCTCCACACTCTCCCCAACACCTTCTATAGCTGCCAGAGAGGCTTCAGGGGCAACTTCGGGTTGTTAAAGGCTGTCCTTCCTGGTGTTGTTCAACAAGGAGACCTTCCTAAGGTTTTTGTCACCATGCAGGCTGCTCTCCCCATGAAATGCTTTCATCCTGCTTTTACCTGTTTAGCTCACACTGAGACGGGGAAGAAGGGGCAAACCAAAGCAAGAACACTGTTAGAAGAAGTTGCTTTCCAAGTTTCAGATGCTCTCAGATCATCTCCTAATTCCTCCCCATCTACACCTGTTTATGAGCAAAATACACACCATGTTAGCCAAGCAATGCTCCCCAGATCTTTACAGGTTTTGCAGTTAAAAACAAAAACCCTTCTGGCCTTGCAGCAGGACGCAGACACGCTCACAGCTCACACATAAAGCAAAATGAACTGAAGAGGGTCCTGAGCTCCCCTGCAAGGCCCTACTGCACCTTCCTCAGGACCCAGCTAAGGGASAGGCAGGCTGGCCGCCCAGCTGCGTGCACCTCACAGACATCCTGCAGCTAAAACTGAGCAGCCTTCTGGTACAGGAACAAAACAAGGAGCAGCTACCCAGGGAGTTTCAACAGGCCATAAAGAAATGCGGCAAAATATGTGAAACGCAGAAGTAACCATCTCCAGGTATCCGTCAGGGAATGGGAAAATGATCCTGCACCGAGTAACTAACGTAAACCTGCGCAGCATAAAGCTCCTATCCAAGGCTCTCGGAACCAAAGTCACCACTTTAAAGAATCAGTAAAGTAAAATATAGTTTTGATGGCGTCTTAGAGGGATGTTCAGATTTGAAACCATAAACATCAACAGGATGTGCAATTCTCCAGTTTAGGTATCCACAGCTTCCCCACGCGGAGAGAAGCACATGCCTGCAACCCTAGTCAATGCAAATTCTACAAGCATTTCTGCAAAACAGGTTTTTATAGTTGCCTGGGGCTCAGGGGAGGGAACARCAGTAAAAGCAAATTAATGCACATATTTGGTACAGTGGGAATTCAGGGAGGATGTAAATGTGCTCCAGGAAATGCTCTCATTTAGGCCTTCAGCAAGAGCCCACTAAGTTCAATCAATGGGAGGTTTCCTTCCACTTCTAATAAATTCTACACCAGACCTTTTGATAAGAGGCACAAGCAAGCTATGAACAAAACAAGAATGAAACACTGGCCGCAATACCTGCGTTATTCCTGGGCTCTAGGCTGTAGACTGATCAGCTTGAAATAAGGGAGACAGAGGGTCAAGAAGAAATTTATTGAAAAGGGAACCCGATTTTTAATGAACACTGTCCTATTTCTTCAGAATATCCCTCTCAGAATATCCCACTACCCCTCTCTTTTATGGCAAGCTATATATCCTCCTTTTCACCATTTCTGCTCTCCACAGTGCAGTCTGCAGGCCATGCTTCCCCCTTTCGTATATTTGAGAGAAATTTCAGGCATTCAAGAACAGAAACGAAGAAAATCACTCAAGAATTGAAGGAAAGTAAATTCTGTCCTTTCTTTAACCACTTGAAATAAGTGCTTATTACTAMGCAAATAAAGCTGCAGCCAGGTAAGAAGCGATTTAAAATCCCACCACACATTTTTCTTGACTCAGTACGAAATATTAATAAAATCCAATACTGATACATGAAATCTCATTTTCCCCCCAAGAAAAAGGTACATATTCCCTTAAGGATAATTCKCATTATAATATATAGTATCTTCAAAGGAGTTCTCCAGTGCTTTTAAAATAATGAATAAAATGACAGGGACACATACAAAAAAAATGAGAGAGAGATCTTCTGGATGCATAATACAAACAAAAAAATTAATGCAGAAGAGAATGCATTAAGTTTTGTAAACGGAATTATTTTTCCCCTCAAAGAAAAGGCTTTCTGCAAGGAAGCGCAATACAACAATAAAACAAAAATAAGTGAAAGGAAACCTCAAGTGAAATTAAACGATTTTGAATGAAAATAAAGCAGTAACATACTTTTCAAACAAGTGTCTCCCAACTTCAGCATCTACTGCGCTCAGTGGATCATCCAAAAGATAGATGTCTGCATCTTGATATACAGCTCTGCAAGGTTTAAACAAAAGTCAGTACCACAAACTCTTACGCTYGTTTATTTTAATTCCTAATTCCTGTCAAAAACCTCCCCCAAACCTGTGCATACTAGAAGCAGTAAAAATCACTAGCCTGGCCAGATTTACACGAGCCTTCTGTCCTCCACTCAGCGTAGCTCCACGGTCTCCTATCACTGTTAAGTCACCATTTGCTAATAATTCCATGTCCTGTAGACATAAAAAAAAATCCAGCAAGTAAAAATCTTTACCATTTTAACCACAAAAACTGACAAAACCTTCAACATAACTTTGCCTTATTCAAATAGTATTAATATTTTAATGTGAGATGACACTTAAAGTGTCATACAAGATGAAATATCCAGAGACTTTAGGGATTTTTATCTTCAGCAAAAGATCATTAAAATACCTGAAAAATAAGTCAGATCTAAAAAGTCACATTTTCTGTAGCTGTGGCCAGAGGGAAGCACATTATTATTCTTGGCATCATATGGAATATTCACTGATCCTTCAGACTACCCTACATACAACAGTAAATTAACTTTCTATTGCTTTTACTATACCTAATGAGTCATTACCATGAATCAAATTGAATAGGGACTATCAGTAAAAAGTAAATTATTTTCCACTTGCCAATATCCCTGAGAATTACATCAGTTTTATTCTTACTACAATGTATCCAATTCATACCATTCATTATACAAGATTGGTTAATTCTTTGGATTACGAGTAAGAGAAAATATAAACAGTGCTCCATGTCATACTAATGTATATTTTCTTCACAAAATATTTAAGATTTACATTGACCTAAATAACATACTCACAAAGTTTATTCACAGCTTTTTTTAAGATTCATAAATTTGAAAGAAAACTACAAAAATAAATCCATCATAAAATACAAAGTGTTTTCAATGCAGCTTGCAGTCTTTTAAAGTCACTAAGACCTTAAGTTCAGACAATAGCAAAAGACTGAATATCAATCAGTTGAGGATGCTAAAACTACAACGTGTAAAAACCTTCCAGAAAAAGAAAAATTTCATCACAGTAACCATCTGCTTTTTACCTATGTTGCTGCTGACAGGAATATCCTAGCATGCTGCATAAAACCTTTTTAGCTGCCAAGCAAAATGTCTGTTTCTTGACAAATCTGGCTTAATCCTCTCCTATATCTCATGTCACAAACTCCTTTACACACAGACCTTTCAAAAATGTTCTTTTTCATTGAACTCTTGGGCTCAGCAAGTTCTCCAGTATAAAGCATTAAGGTTCTGTTGATAATGGTTACCAATGCATACATGCTATACATGAAATTTACTTAAAACAGCAAACAAACAGCATTTACAAAATGAGTGACAGTGTTACTCTGAAGGTTTACTTTCKACCTTTTATTAGCCCACTAACATACATATCTAGCGTAACAACAAACAAAACTAAAACTAGTTTTACTAAAAGTAATTATGAAGTATTTGGAACATTTTTCCTAAATCTGTCCGAGCTTCACAGAAGCTGCATCTCCCTCTAGTGAAGTTATGAGGAATTACAAGGACGTGTTCACACGCAGATGTTAGAAATAATTACACATATTTCTTTTGAGACACAGACTATATTTCAAATGCAATAATGTACAGGGTGGATTATTACTAGCAACAGCATGGCCCACAAGAACAATAAAATAAAAGTGTTTAAAATAAAACACACAGAGAAAAACATACCTTTTTAAGAGCACAGGCTTTCAGAACTTTTTCATATTTTTCCTTCTCATATTCCTTGTCAAACAGTATATTACTTCTTACTGTACCAGAAAACACCCAGGGTTGTTGAGAAACATAGGCAATTCTTCCAGAAACATTTATCAATCCTTTCTCTTTAGGCAGCTCACCAAGCACAGCACTTAAAAGTGAAGACTGCAAAAAAATTTGGAAGGGGATGGATGGATGGATGGATGGATGGATGGATAGATGGATGGATGGATGGATGGATAGATAGATAAAAAAATCAGCAATTAAGACGTAGAAATGATCTGCCTCCTAACTGCATATTCAGAAATGAGTCTTCAAGAAGCTGGGTACCACCCAAACTTTAATCTCCTGATAGCGGCACTTCCAAAAACAATGTCACTTTATACCTTAGACAACTTTTTCTGAAGCGATCTGATTGCATTAACGACATCACGGATACCGAGTAACATTTATTAGCATGACAGCCAATAAAGCAGCCTTCACATGCAGTCTAGAAGTGAAGTACAAAGCACTTTTCAACCACCAACCATGCCTCCCACCTCAAAACAGGCATCTGCCCCCCTGCATAGCCATTTCCTTGATTTAAAGTGTATTATTATGCAAGGAAAGGGCCTGTATATTGGCAACTTTCTAGTTGTGTTTAACAAACCCATCAAAAAAAATAGACAGGGTAGTGTAAAACATYGAGACTTACTTTTCCAGCTCCCACTGGACCAATGACAGCCAATAATTCTCCTCGTCTGACAGTAAATGAAAGCTGTTGAAGTGCTGGGCTATCGAAACTCTATGGATTMGAGAAAAAATCATGTTTCCTCAGTAACATAATATACACACCATCAAAATAAGCTTCTAGGAGCAGAAAACAATGCATATAAATGGCCACAAATAAACAACCCATAGCTTCATATTTTCGGGCATAAAACTTGCCTCTTCCAACAGCTCACAAACTCTTTCAGACGACACAGATCCCTAAACACAAGCACTACAACGTTACACACACWGTTAGGTTCAGGTTCTCATACAACTCTGATCCCAAAGGCTCCGACAGACGCCTCGTGGGTGATTTGTGTATAAATACACTACCCAGAATTTGGCTGCCCTTGCCTCTTCAGCACCTCTCCCCTTTATGTCACACTACTGATAAGCACTTACTTCCCCGATATATTTCGTAGGAAAAAAAGAAAGGCAAAAAGAAAGCCCATTTCTTAYGAAGAGAAACGATGCCGTGCCTTTAATAGCTGTGCTCTAATTCCTAAGGGCCCCACTCAGCTCTCTCCCAGGAATGCTGAACATCCTTCTAACAGGATTGGCCTTTACACGCATCTTATACCACACAAAGCATGACACAAAATTGAAATGGAAATACAGGAGCATTAAAAAAGAAAAGGAAAAAAAAAGAAAAAGCTGAACTGGGTTGGTATTTCTATTAAAGGGCCAAAGAAGCAGCAAAATCAAGAAAAGATCAGAATGAAGGGGAACCCCCTTCCCCTTCATTCCCTAGGGGAACCTAGGGAACCCCCACACTACTGGAAAGGTGCTTAAAAATCTCTCGCCACCTTTTTGAGGTTGAAGAGCCTGAGGATGCATCTCCTATCGCTGCATCCATATAGAAACGGCAGGTGACCAAGTTCGGGTGCTGTGTAAAGGAGGAATATGGCAGGTGACCAAGTTCGGGCGCTGTGTAAAGGAGGAATTCAGGAGCAAACGTTTCCTATGAGCTGGGAGGGCCCAGCCTGGGGTGCTCGTTGAACCTAGGTGGGCAGCGCAAGCTCGGGCCGGGGACGCCACAGGGCAGCCCGGGCTCAGCAAAACCCCCCTCCTGAGCTCGGCCTCCCTCCTGAGCTCGGCCTCCCTCCTGAGCTCCCGCTCAAGTCTGGGGCGCAGCAACCCGCATTTTTCCCGGCGTTGCGTTTGACTTCGCAACCTCCCTATCCTATTACTACTAATGCCCACGAGGTGGCAGCAACGGGGCTTTTTCCCTCCTCTCCCGASCTCCCCGCCGGCTTTCACCACGAACCGGGATTTCTCCGGGCAGAGCAGGGAGCCCGGGCGGAGGCGCAAGGAGCAGCGCGGGCTGCAGGCACCTCGGGGACACGGCGTCTTCCCAAATCGGCGTCCCTCATCTTTAGAAACCGCCTGCCCCGAATACATGATACCTGCTTTTCGGCACTAAACCTATTTTAGAGCACAGCTGATGTTGATTTTCCCTACTTTTCCCAATGCCGGGGCTGCCCTGTGCCCTGTCAGCTCTCCCTGCCCTCCATKTTCCCCGCGGCAGCTCCTTCCCGCCTCACGTTGCAGGCGGGTGGTCAGGGAAGGAAAGATGCCAGAAAACACCYGTCAGGAGCAGCGATGCCACTGCTGTTGTCTTATCCCTCTGACCTGGGTCACCACGGGGCTCTAGGCAAGGAAGGTCGCTGTGGGGAGCAGGGTCCATGCGGGGAGCATGGAGAACGGGCCTGCTGCCCTGAGGTGAGCTCGTGCGTCCCTCAGCGGTAACCCACTCCATCAAARGGCTTTAAAGACCACGTATCCCATAAAAATACGACACCACTTAGGCTTCTCATTTTTCTAAGGTGCCTAAAATGTCCCGGAGTCTATTTGGCCTCCGTTTAAGCAGAGAGCTGTTTGGCTGAAAAGGCAGGGAGCTCCATAAACTAACGGCACACAGATAAGAACCGAGAGCCCCGAATCCCGAGCGCCACGCTGGTGCCAACCCAGCCTGCGGGACYCGGATAACACCCATAAAGTGTGACCATCACTTAACTGGGTTTGTTTATCTCTCGATAAACTGCCATACACCATGTTAAGTTGTTTTCCTGAAGGCCTAGCTAATAATCCCTTTCTTACTTCCAGTGATTTTTTTTTTAACATCTCTTTTGGCTCATCATCTTTAAACACAAAAAGAAATTACCATCCAGATGTACTTTTGCTAAACAGAGACTCAAAGAGTCGTGAGAAACTTAGTAAGGGTAGCAAGTTAGGCAGGTTAAATCACAACCTGTAATATAATTCTTTTATTCCTTTCATAGCTCCTCTCTCTCTCTCTCTYTCTCTCTCTCTCTCTCTCAGAACTTACCATCTTTTCACCAAGACCCATCTTTTCACCAAGAACCCATGAAATTATTTTGCAGCATTGCAAGTGTTTTGAATTTCTCTAATAATCCTGGTTGAGCTATTCATTACCCATGTACATTTAAATTCAATATTCAAGTGAAAACAGCTTTTTAATATTAAAAAATAAAATAAAATAAAATAAAATAAAATAAAATAAAATAAAATAAAATAAAATAAAATAAAATAAAATAAAATAAAATAAAATAAAATAAAATAAAATAAAATCAGAAGGAAACCAGTAATTCCAGTCATGCTCAACAGCTTTAAGTAATGTCAGCTGGTCATGAAAAATAATGAAGATGTTATATGGCTGATTTATGCTACAATTACCTATAGATGGTTAGTGCAGGTACCACTTCTGGTTTAGTGACAAACCAAAGACTAAGAAATACATTTCATTTTTGCATTAGAACATATTCATTAAGTATTTTGTATCAATTAATTAAAAAAGATTTGATGTCTCAAAACTTCTTTTCATGGATACAACTCTGAGAAAGTAAAATGTAAAGTAGCAATTTACTTTTGTTGCTGAGTAGGATTATTTTACACATATATCTTCATACTCTATCCTCCTTGGGACACAGCATGTGTTTGGGAAGAAGGTGCACAAAGGGAAGTATTCCACACACCTTATTTGCTGCAAATTCACATGCAGAACTCACTTTCAGAGCTTCCAATATTTCTGATGTCTTCTCATGAAAACTAAAACCTTCATAGCCTCTTTTGCAATGATAGTGACAGCTCATAACATCTCCAGCAATTCATCACAAATTACCACTTATCATAGTGATTCTGATTTTAAAAAGAAATGTCAATCTACCTCATTTTAAAAAAAAGGATATGTAATAAATCTATCACCTGTATATTGTCCCTTTGTCTAGACATTTTGGTGGTTTAGGTGCATTTCAGGGAAAGCACAGTATGTAGCTGACCTACAGCCATTAAAATACACACAGTAAAATACTTACAGCTTAGTCTCTTAAGCCTTCAAATCTGTTATGGGAAGGACAAAACAGTTCTGGTTCTAGGCCAGGACACTGATGTTCTGCCTGCCTTTAATCACAAATTCAGCATCTGAGCTATGCTGCAGCGCTGTTAGGTAACACAAGGCCATTTTTTATAGACAAGTTTAGTTAGTTACTCCTAATATTCAGGATTAGCTACTTCTGAGAAGCACCTGATACTGTTTCTCATGTATACATTTCCCATGCACGCATACATACTATACAGTTAACATACTAATGGGTTTCGCATGTATAGAAAGCACCATACAAAAAACCAGCACACTATATACAGATATACTGCTATGTAAACCTCAAATGCCTGCACCATCAATATACTCTTAGTGTTCAGCAGAAGTAAGTTTACCTTATCCCAATAGCAAGTCAAATCCTGGACATGCAGAACAGCATTCTCRTTACTACTGTGCAGTTGTGGTTTGAAGTGTGAGACCTCATCAAGTATCAGAAAGTTCTGCAAGGAAAGAAAAGCACAGACTATTGCTCAATTTCAGACTAAGGAGTGAAMGCCTCTGTTTCTGTAAGCAGCATACAAAAGAAATACACATTTATAAAAGATACACACAGCTCAAGAAATTTTATTTCCAAAGCAATGTTCAACACTTTTGAACAGCACACCTCAAATTTGAGCTCCATCCTCTGTACCAATGCAGAAGGGACGAGGCTCTAACTACCTCTCCTCATCACTGCGCTGTTTATGTGATGAGCAAAGACTTGGTTCTCATGTTGCTTAAAGGATCTGTGAGGACACTGTGGAAAGTTGTGAACAAGTACCGAACTCACAGCCTGTATCTTCACCAAAAGGAAAAAATATATATACATCCATATATATGTATATATATATATAAGCTTATATAAGTCTGAGCTCTCTGGCCAAGAAAGCGGGACTTTGCCAAGTGCTGTTTCTGACAGATGGGAGCTAACAGGCAGTAATAGGTGTTTAGGGGAGATCTCAGATTAAAAAGGTGGTAGACAAGTAAAGAAACTCCAGGCAGCCTAAGTAYGTGTGGAGGGCTGTGGCTGAGAAAAAAGGTCTTGCAAATACAATCTGGATTTAGACTGTGGCTGAAATATGGGAGCCATGAGGAAGAAAGTGGTTTCTTGTTTGTCAGCTCTTTCTACAGTGTATTACACTTGTAATACAGGACTTGRTCAGGAGCTTCTGACAGCAGTAGCTTTCTCACCAGGTATAAAGTCTAGTTAGCCACTTGATTCAAAAAGGKGACAGCACCACAGGTGGAACACTGCAAATAAATTTAATATGAATGAAGAAAAGTAATATGGCTAATTCCAAGATTTGTAAATACTGATGGGGAAATCAACACGAGCCATAAATTTATGAAAGCAGTAAAAAATCTTAATCCTTAGATTTTTAGGCTTTATTAAAACATCCTTGCACTGTTTTTGTGCTTATTAATCTTCCACGGAGAGAAAAAGGAARTTGCCAACTTTCCACAAGCAGCTGGGAAGCAAACGTTAGCTTCAGAGMGCTCCGCATCCCTGAGAGAGAAACCCCATCTTTTGTACCCAGATGAAGTTTTATCTTCCTTTCCTAGTTGCCGCCAAAATAAGCCGCTGAAAAAACCCAACAGCTCTTGCTGTGTTTCAGGAGAGGACCTTGATCTTAGTGCTTCAACACAAAAGAGTGGAGAACTGCCCCAAGAACACTGCAGCTTCGTTAGTTGAGTTCTTTACCTATTCCCAAGAACCTTGATTTTGAAGCTGGTTTCTAACAACCCTCATTAGAAATCACAGTGAGTTGGAGCAGGCTGCTAGAAGCAAAATCTTGGGATACAGCATAGAACACACTGGAAATTGGAATAGGAAGAAAAGGAATAAATTCATCAGTCAGTTTCTGTTCTTCCTAATGTACCTTCCTCAGGCAAAACCCCCCTGCATCTGCCTACCTTCAGGAATGCCTTCCAAGAGCCCTGCCATGGAGCTGAGCACGGGCTGTACGAGAGGACAGAAAAGCAGCACCGAGCCCCCCAGCCGTCTTCCCCTCTCCCACAGCTTCCTTTAAGCAGCAGGAATGCATGCTACTGCCTACAAAACAGCTRCTATGGTTTTCATTAACATTGTCTAACACTATTTGCATCAACTTTTAACAAACCTTTCTCAAAGGGCCACRATTACCTTTTTCATGTGTGCTTTATGTGTGGTCTTAGTACAATTAGCAAATTTACCAGCAAGAAAACGGATTCATTACACTCAAGCATATGAATTTAAAATGGGAGAATTTAGCTTCTTTCATCAACACATTACATGGCGACACAGCCATATGATTACATGAAAGGCGCTTCTCTTTCTGGTTCCAGATGACATTAATCTGATTCTTCACAAAACTAAGGTCTAGAACRGTTGACATGCTTTACTTTAAATGTGTGTTTCCGTAGCTTGGCAATTTGAGTTTAAATTTTCAATTTAAAAAAACTAATTTGCACTTAAATCTTTTGTTCTTACAATTTACACTAAAATGCTGGTACACCCAGCAAACTTGTGTACTTGTGTACTTGTTTTATTTGAAACATCACACTAAACACCACAAAACCAAACAGAATAAAGTCCCTCTGCAACAAACAGCAGTGTGAGCAATGCTCACTCTTGCTGCATTTGTAGCAGTGTCTTCATTCCGGTGCTGGAAGGAGTTGAGACACGGGCTAGGGGCCGTGCCTGACGGGGCAGCCCAGCGCACGAGGARTGTGCCTCCCATCTCTCCCATCTGCTTTTTTGGTCCTCTGTATTTCCAGGCTCACAGCTCCCAAACCCAACACTTCTGGCCATCCGCACACCTTTATTTTGTTCTCTTGGCTCAAAAGATTTCCACAGGAGCTCTTGGCTCACGTGCTTTCTCCCCACATTTCACCCCACTGCCCTGTAGCCTTTGATTTTCCCCACCAAATACTGGTGGGGAAAAAAGCAATATGTTGCTTTACACAGCAACATGTTCCAGTTCGGAGGGGGATTATTCCATGGCAAACGCCAAGCCCTACAACACCGACACGAAGCCGCTTTCATTGCCGATGTCGCATCGTTGTTATAGGAGGGCAACAAGCCCGGAGCCCCGGCGCCCGTACCTTGATGCGCCGTATGCTGACCACGGCCTCCGACACCCTCTCGATGGCGGCGGGGAAGAAGAGCGTGACCGTGAGCCTCACGGCGCCGTAGAGCGACACGGCGACGAACACGCGGCTCGCCGAGATGACGTTGCCCAGCAGCACGTAGGCCATGAAGGTCATGAACACCGTGATCTTGCTCGCCACGAAGAAGGAGGCCAGGTTCAGGCCGCGAAGGTAGGAGCTTTTCATAACCATGGCAATCTCCTTCCTGAAAACGCAGAACAGGAGCCAGTGTTCACACGCACCGCTCAGCACACTCGCCCTCAACAGCAGGGTGAGGGAACCCCGCTCCCAGGCTTCACTTTTATGGCCTTTTTGTTCCCCAGCTCCTATAGGAAGAGGCGTTCTCAACAGCASCGGCAAAGCAGCACGCCAAATGGTAAACAGTGACAGACCAAAAAGAGAGGCTAACAAGTTGAGGAAGGCACTTAAAGGTATTCTCTTTTTCCTGAAGTTACTAAGGTATTAAAGAAAAACAGAAAGTTGTTTGGGGGGTTGTTTTGGTTTTTTTTTTCTTTCATTTTATTTATGTTTTAATTTGAAATGAGTCCAGCCTTAGACCATGTAATCCACTCTTAAATCAGCTGCTCTTCCTCAGGCTGCACCACAGTATTTGCAATATCTGATCTCATCCCAATTCCTTCCTCCTGCTCCCTTTGGACACTGCTCCCGGCTCCTTTAGCTCTAGGAATTCTGGCTAATAATTCAGCAAATACCGGTCTGTGACCAGTTGCTCTGCTGGCCAATACTCTACCCTAGGGTAGGGTAATACCCTACTGCTGTGCACTGGATAAAGTGCACGGGGACACACGGCTCCATGGGGCACCTGACAGGCTGCTGATTCACGTGTGTCCCATTTCCACCCCTGCYAAACTTCAATTTCCACTTCCAATTGACTCATCAAAGCAGATCCGAGAAATTTTACTGCTCCTACAGTGCAGCTGCCATCAAACTTAAGCTGTTATTTAAAACCACATTTTTCAAGAGAGCCATAATAACCTACTCCTTCCACATACAATTCAATTTTATCTGCTTAAATTAATTTAGAATAAATTCCACTACAACAATTTCCAATTTCTCTTCTCAAATACTCTGGCAATTCTCAGGGAAAACCTTGCTCATCCTCATTTCCCTTCCACTTGGAACTATCCGCCATGAGTAGAAATTCAAGTTATAATTATACCATTTGAAATAAATTAAGTCCTCGTTTAACAGAGAGAAGGATGCAGGACGCACCACTGGAAAGCTAGTTAAGCCACTTTCCACTCTACTTGCCAAATTGGCTGAATTGACAGACTTTCAGGGATGTTCAAAGACTTAGTTTTTCAGCTTAAGGGCTCACAGTCTCTGATCTCCTCCAAAGGACACTGAAAGAACATTTGTAGATAAACTATTTGAATTGGGTCTAATTCAATTACTTCTGCAATCCTGGATGAAACCCTTTTCCCACCCTCTAATAATCCTTAATAATCCCCCATTATCTGGGGATAATCAGCGAGTCCTTTGTACTGCTCTCCACAAGTATCAGAAAAATTACGTCTACCTGCGTCGGAGCTTTATGGCTACGCTTCTTACAGCACACATTGAAATCCAAGGAAAATAACATGGACATTCCCAGGAAAAATATAGATGAGAGGAGTTCAGATGTCATCTTAATGACTGTCAAGTGTCAGTGTGGAAATACTGGGTAAGGATGGCTGACTTCAGGGCTTGCTACAGGTTTCTACAGTGCTATCATTAAAAGGTAGCAGGATTCCTTTTGGAAGAGGTTCTTTTTTCCTCCACTGCTAAATAAGAAGCCTCTAAACTTAATGAGACATTAAGCCTAGATATCTCATCTCTCACTGAGGACGTCATCGATGAAGAAGTTCTGGCTCCATGAAGAGCATGAAGCCACTACACCATAGAGGATGTTCAAGCAGCACAGGACCCAGTATTTAGCAAAAGGAAAGGATTAAGTCATCGGGGGAAAAATTGCTCACTGAACATAAGCAAATTTGCACATTTAAGGAGTCATTAAAAAAGAAAATTTGGTTAAAAAAGAAAGAATAGAGAAGAAAAAGCGAACTCAGAGAAGCCACAGTAGGATGACAATCTCTTCTCTTTGGCAGGTAATGGACATAAAGCAAAAATTAATCAATGGGAAATATGCACCAGAACTCCTACAGTTACTCCTTAACACTGAATGTTCTCATACTATCAAGTAAAAGAATAAACAGTGCCTGAAAAACAGATATAACACTAATTTGAATCACCACCCTTTTCAGGTGCTTTGAAGAACACTTCCAAAGGGTCAGAAAGGAAATTAAAATACTATCTGAGAATGTTATCATTCAAGAAAGACTCAAACACCATAAAYGCACCAGAAGAAAAACATCCATTACAGGAAACATTAAAAAAAAGAAAAAGATTTTGCATAAACTCTATTACATAGAAATGCTCTATTACAGAAAGCAATAGATATTATAAATATCAAAGTTTTTTTTCTTTTTCTGCCTCCTTACAAAAAATTTTCATTCTTTCCCTCTTCCAACAGAGGGTTATAAAAAGCCACATAGATGTTCAAGTGAAACCCTTTTCAAAGCACAACCTAGTTATTTATTGACTTGTAAAAATGGAAATAGATATACAGATATATCGTGTAACAAGATGTATCTTGGCAGGATTACCTTCTTAAACCACTCACAAGTTCAGCAAACGATTTTTCCCAAGCGTACATCTTTATTATCTTCATACCACTTATAACTTCATTCATGGTCCTAATCCTGACGTCGGTAAAGGCAGCTGTCTTGCTTCTGCAACGAGCAGGAAATAAAAAATCTCAAATTCTCAGAAGAAAGACTATTATCATATAATATACTCATTTTATGGRCAGTTTTACTTCTACTTGAAAAGAAGATTCATAGAATTTTAGTTGCATTAAATGTTTTTGCTAAAACAGTATCTTACACTTGACACACAGCAAAAAGATCTGATGTGCCTGTATTGATCAACTGATTTGCCCAGGGAGGCTGTGGAGTCTCCTTCTCTGGAGATCTTCCCAAGCCGCCGGGATGCCGCCCTGTGCCCCGTGCTCTGGGTGTCCCTGCTGGAGCAGGGGGTTGSACTGGATGATCTCTAGAGGTCCCTTCCAACCTCAGCCATTCTGTGATTCTGTGTATTCCCAATATTGTGCATATTCAGTTAAATCAGCACAAATTTATTATTTCAATACGTGCTAACACATGGTGTTCCTTAAACAACATATTTATGTAGAAAATACATGAAGTTCTTTTATTAAAAATACACATCCAAATATTAAATTCAGAGCTAAACAAAAATTAGAAAAGTATTTTTAAAAAATGAGTTTTGAAATGCCAAAATAGCATCCTCTCAAAAGGCTATTTTGGTGTTGTCCAAAAAAACGGCCTCTGTTTGTATGTTGGTAGCTCTATTTGAGGCAGATTCCTCAATACCAGCATCTCAGCTACAGCTGAAGAATGCAAACCTAGAAACCCTCTTGCTCAAATAAAAAAATAAAAAAATAAAAAAATAATAAAAAAAAAAGACCTTTGTCTTGTGAACTGTACCAGTTAAAATACACATAAAAAGCCGTTAATGATCAAAGTGTAAAGTCATCTTTTTTGGCTCATGGAAGACTATTGATTTTTTAGGCTTTTAATAGGTAACCAACATTCCTACTTGATCAGACCAGGGATTGTGAGGCAAGGCAGTTTTCATCACTGAACAGTTTCCATATTAAGATGAGGTGAAATCAAATCTGTGTGTAAATGCATGTGTGTGATCATGTGTATATCCACATATGCACCCTTTATGCAAAAAAGGAAATAGAAATTACTGTATAAATGTGCTTATTACTCTATAAAACTTTATGAACATTTGTAATTAGCACCATTAAAAAAATCTATTCTGGTCATGCATCACATTTATAATGATGAATAAATTGAAAAATGAGCATGTGTATTTGTGTGTGTGTGTGTAATTAAACAATCAAGTCACAATTTCATTTAGAAAAAAAAAAAGCATTAAAAGTTAGGGAAAAAAAAGCATTAAAAGTTGGAAGTCATGTTGCAACTCTGAATTCATTCCTGCATACAAACATACTCTGCATATAGACCGGCCTACAGTAGACTTTGTTTTGATAAATTTCACCTTTTTTCCCTAAATTATATAATTTAACATATGGCCAATGAAAGCATGTATGCTTTAGAAACCATACAAAAATAATAAAATATTTTTCAAAAGGGCTTGTTGTGTCTTGGTAGTTCTGCCCACCCCTAAAACTTCTCAGTTGCTCTGGAATCAACAGCCACATTCAAAGCACTTGCACAGGAAAAAAAATTCAGGCAGCTGTCTGGTATTTTAAATCCAGTGTTACAGAAATGTGGGGATAACCGAAGGGACATATTAAGAAATATTTAGGCATGAAAAATGATGGAAGCAACACAGGAAAGCTGCCCTAATGTCATCGAGGCTTCTTTGGAAGACTGGGGATAGCTTAGCCGAAGCCAGCTATCAAACAGTAACATTTCAGTAGGAAAATTTAAAAATGAGTTTATCAAAGCAAAATTACTATCCTCTTACGATTTTTTTTCAAATCCTCTACTTTATAAAAGTTTCCTAAAGGCTCTTTCAAATGTCTAAGACCACCCCTCTGTGACAGTAATTACCATTTATAAGGAAGTAGTCTTTTTCTTTTTCAAAAGGCATATTCAGTAGATTCCACTCATGTTAAGATAAAGCAAGATCAGGCTTCACATACAGCATTTTTTTCTTTTAAAAAGATCTAATTTAGAGATTAAGAAGTGCTTTAAATTCCAATATTCCAATCACCTGGCAAAAGTACTGAAAGGGCCAAACTCTTATGAACACATACAACGTTCTTCAGCTTGACAATTAAACTATTCCTAAACTGTACACTTTGTACAACTTTGTGCAGATAAAAGCAGCAGTCAGTAACACGGTGTACGCTCTTCCAGGTGACACTGAGCCCATCTCTGCAAGCTCCGACCTCTGTGAAGCTACTTTAGTGTCTGCACCGACAGCTTCTGTGCCCAYGGGTGCTGGCAAGGCTGGGCCACGAGCTCAATGCTGCCTAATAGCCCAGATTAGCTGCCACACGGAGCGCGCCTGGATTTCAGCAAAAGCTTTAATCCCTAAATTACTTCTTCACTGGCCCATTTCCTCCAAGCCATGCAGATTCCCAACAACTGCCACGTGAACATGAAACATCACGACAGGGCTGGGATTTATTTTAACTCTCTCCATTCGCTGGGCTATGAAGATTTGTGCACATCTGTGCAGGTAAATGGATTTGGGGTTAAGAAATTCTTTCCCTTGCACTGCAGCCAAACTAGTGGTTGTTAATAGCTAGGGCAAATAAATAAATARATAAATAGAAAGAGTATTATAGGGATCCTGAGAAATTTTTAAAACACAGAAYTTCCAAGATAGTTTTCTCACCCAGGCCTGACATAAGTGCCTTACTTCTTTGCAGCTCAAGTTCCCTATCTGAAAAATGAGGGTAATAATGCTTAGCACCTTGGAGGAGCATTTTGAACACCAAGAATAAAGCACCATTTAAGTGCTAGGTTTACTATTAAGCAACTTATTACACATGCATACATTTTGCACAGGCAATCAAAATGCATAAGTAAGGAAAGAATGAGGTGTACTAAGAACATGTTTTATCGTATAAAGCTAGGGACTTGGCAGAGGACACGGAATGACTATTACAGAAACACTAGGTGAGCCTAAGAGCTGGGGACTACCACAGTGCTTACAAACAGAGGAGAAAGCCCATGAACTGCTCTGACTTCGTGAATCTCAGAGCTCTTTTCATCCCTAACCAAGCAGCAGCGATGCCAGCCCCAGCACCACCAGGAAACCTCTCTTGAGCTACAACTGGAAAGAAAACGCGAGTAACTTGCTAAAAAGGTTTTTTTGTTTTTCTTTTCTATCCAAGCAACTAGGAAGTGGTGTTCTGTTCACTTTGGATAGAAAAATGCAATGAGGAGAACTAACACTCCTAAGCATGCAAGCACGTAGCAAAGGGCAATTAATCAAACTCTTCCAGGCCCAGGACTAGCAAGTGGCATTATGGATTTTCAGCCTCTCTTTAAAAACAAGCCGCTGATTCAAGTCCCTAAGCAGGAACTGGAAAATATGACATTAGTGGCTAAAAAAATCATCGTCAAAACCCGAAGACAAGGCAAAAAGCCTCACCACACAGAGGTCCACCTCAGAGCACTACCTTGAGTCAATGCAGTGCTTGGACAACCCAGGAGACCCCATCTGCAAGCCCCAGAGAGAAGGGCTAGAGCCCAGCACGCACGACCTTACCTCAGGGAAGAGAAAAGCCTCCCAATGCAGGTCTGCACAGGGAGCAGGATAATGAGGACTGCCATTCCTGCGAGGCACGAGGGGCCTATTTCCATCCAGAGAAGCACKGTTACTGCTATCGCCTGAATTGGTCCAGCCCACAGGAAGTGCAGGAAGATTGTCACCTACGCAAACAATCAAGAAGCAAAAATTAAGCTTTTGGCCTTAGTGAAAAATAAAACCTGAGGAAGGCCAAGCTCAAAAGGCCTCTCTGCCTGTGGGAAGTGCCAAGGCCTTTGGCAGGGAAACCGAGACTGGAGAAGCACATGGACACACACTGACACCTCTCCAAGACACTGGAAGCAGCAGGGAAACGTCTAAGGGGAGAAAACGGTACGTTTTCCCCCACATTTCAAGTCACTAGTGCTTCTTTTATGATGTTTGAGAAACAACTTGGAAAAATATTCATGCTTTTGCTACCAGTTGTGAAGAAAATAACCAAACCTTGTAGCTTTTTTCACCTTCAGCCCCTTCAGTGAGGCCTGCCTCCTTACCTGATCAAATTTGTTCACATCATTTGAAAGAAGATTTACTATGTGGCCAGTGGTAGTTTTCGCCATGGCTGTGTTACTGAGACGGAGTGCCTGAAAAGAAGAAAATAGCCCCAAATTACCACAGCTTCCCCAGCACATGGCACCCATGCTTCGAAGACTGAACCCACAAACACTTTATTGGAACAAAACCTGAAGCCACTTCGCAGCTTCTGCCTGAGAACCTCCCAGCCATTGCTAAAGAACCCTAGATAACGCACTGGCTGGGTTAATAGTCTGAAGAAAAGCCTGAAGATAAACACACAAACTCTGCAGAAAGACTAAGGAAAAAAAAGTTGCCATAAAAACACTGCCTTTACTTTCCCAGAGTGATTAAAAACGGGAAAATACCAACATAGTAAATTATTAACACCAACCAAAACATCTAGTAACCTTCCCTTTGCTCTCTCTCCCGCTCACATTAGGACTGCGTGTGCAACAACAGAGCAGAAAACTCTGCCCTGGAGCTAAATGGGAGTCAGGACAAGGTTTGACCAATAGAAAGATTTTTTTTTTGACCGAGATTCATCACAGAAGACAACAAACCAAGCTGTATTTCTGCATTATAAATTCTCAGGAACACTGTGAGCTGTGCCTTCTGCCTTTGAAGATCTGAGCTAAAATCCCTTTACAAATTAAATTACAAATTACCTCGTTAAAAGGTCTGTAAAATCGTAATTTCTGGTTTATATTAARGGTTAGCACATACTACAAAAAGCAGTAAAAATAAATACAAAATATTTTTAGAGGTTAATAAATAAGTTAATAAGTAAAAAATAGCATCTGATTATAAAAATATTCCACAAAACTTATCTGGAAATATGCAGTCTGTACATTAGTGCAGGCATAACTTAAAAGGAGCAGAACTCTGTACCTTGCCACAAAAATGAAAAGCACCATTTTGCAGTACAAGTAAAAATAACAAACAGAATGTGCTACATGTTTTCCTGTAACCAAAGTGGGTAATTTCTCCAAAACCTKTAGCCTTTTTAGGCACCACAGGCCTCCTTTGCCCCTTAGTGCCAAACGATCACTCTGTCCTCAGCCTCCTGCATCCCCTCGGCCTGAGGGCAGCCCCAGCACATCCACCTTCCTGCCTTGTATTTAATCCACCACAAAGATCCAAGCAGATAAAGCTGCTGGAAAAGCTCTTAGCTACCTGCAGACCCCAAGAGCAGCGGTTCAGGCATCAAGTGTTTGGGGACGTTGTCCCCAGGGTACCTCTGCAGCCCCTACTGCTCTGTACGTGTTTAAGACACAGACATACACACCATGGCCAGACACAGCAATGTCACAGTTTGTCTATTCTTCTCTTCCTTTCCTACTCCAAAATTATTTTATATATATATTATATATTATATATTATATATTATATATTATATATTATATATTATATATTATATATTATATATTATATATTATATATATTGCGTGTGTGTATATATATATATACTTATTGAAATGAACTTTACATTTTCCTGGCTGATGTTCACATTTTCCTGGGTCTAGACTGGCCACAACCTATCTCGACAGAAGGAAATGGCAACACTGAACACAAAGGAAGAGTTTCACTTACATAATCATTTTCTACCAAAATGTCCCGTTTTGCTCCTTTACCTGTCCAGTACCTGTGTCTTTAAACACTGCTTTAACTATAACATTTCTAAATTTATCCTGATGGTAAGAAAGACTATCAAAACTAGAGCTACATATTCTAGGAAGTTATACACATTTTTAAGAAGGAACTGCAATTTGAATTTGCGTTTCATTTTACAATTGCCAAATATCTGTTTTCAGCACAACAAGCTGCTTGATTTTTCTCTATACATGTTTCCCATGCATAAGTATTTCCCAGCAAGCATTCTTCTTCAAAGAAAATAGGTTTTATTTACATGAATTAATGACAGCAGTTTGTACCCCTGCTGTCTGTCTAGAGTTCATCTTTTTTTTCCCCCAGATGTAATTGCATTGACTCCATTTCCATTTTTTAACAATTTTCCATTTTCTGTATTCCCATTCATTTTAATCTCTCCCTGCCCCAAACTGTTAATTTGAAAGCAGAGGAAAAAGGGAGAGCTGACCATAAAAAGGACCAATTTCAGGAAAAAAAGCTGCCGCCTCCTTGGAATAGTTGTCAGCTCTCTGTCTTAGCCAACTACTACACAGCTTAAACTACCCAAGAGCCTATTCTAAAGCCTAAAGAAAATATAAAATTGTCATAAGGACAAGGCTCATAAGGACAAGCGACAAAAGAGACAATTGTCAAATTGTCTCTTTTCTCATTTGCTACAAACTTCCTGTGTGCATCGCTATTAGTTCACATTAATCGCAAAATATCTGAGTCTGAATACAAGCTTTTTGTAACTAAAATCAGTTTTTAAACTTTCCAGGAAAGGCAATATAAAACTTAAGGAGAATTAGCATTCAAAATTTTGTACTAAGGATGCTCTCCCATCCACCCTCAGTCGTCCCTGCAAATCCTAGCGTCTATTTACTACAGGAATTAATGAGCACTGCTAAAGTGCTGTTAAATTAGCATCCAGATTCTTTCAAAAGCATAGATGAGAATAAAGGAAAAGTATGACCTATCTCTAAACCCTGAATAATGAAGACAACTGATTAGCAAGGTTTTATCAATGTTYTGCCGTAACTTCAGCCCTCACCCTCAGGAATAAACATCTATGAGATGAGGGGAGATTAATCTCCCATTTAATCACATCTCCCGAAATAAGGGTACACATTATGAACGTTTCCTTTCCAAGCTCCTAGGCTCCTAAGCCAGTACCAACAATGCAACAAACAACTCCTAAATTCATGAAAAATGTATACAGCCAAGTGTGCTATGATAATCAGTACAGTAAATTAATACCTTGGAGATATGTTTATGTACCAGAAAGCAGCGTGCCATGCGAGAGCCAAGGTCCCACAGGATAATTTCCAAGGCATCAGAAGGAGGAGGAGAATAAATAGGTGCATGAGAAAGAGTCACCGCTGCAAGGCCGCCGTTTTCACGGCCCTCACTCTGGGTTTTTGCTCCCGGGAGCGACACCRCTGGCACGAATGTTTGCTTTAAGCGGATGCTGCCCATATTTAGCAGCTAAAATAACATGGATTTGTTTACGTACTAAATAAACTGCACAGCCCTGATGTGAAGGGCTGTTTGCTGAAGCAAAGCCTGGCAGGTCCCTATGCCAGCGGCACCAAAGGGAAGGCGCCGGCCGTTCCAGCGCCCCCGGCAGCAGCGTTCCCGCCGGGAAGCGGAGCCGGGCTGGCATCCCGGGTATTCCCAGCCGCTTCAGGAGAGGGCAGCAGACTGCAGGACTGCGCYGCTTCCTCCTAAGCGCCCGGTGAGGTCCACATTTCATCCTGGGTGCTCTTGGCCTGCTCGTACAGGGCTACGTATGGCCTCTCCTGCCCCCCTGCCGTCAAGGGGACCTGCCTGTGAAGATGCCGAGCAGCCCTTCCAGCCTCTCTGTTTTGCAGGAATTCTGCACTATCCTGGGACTCCCTGTGCTGCCGAGGYGGCTGCTCCAGCTTTCACCTCCTACCCTACAGAAAATAGCACTATGGAGCCCTTTCCTTTCYGAGCACTGACTTCCAGGTTTTCAGACCTTTCTAATCTAAACAAGGCTTCCATAGTGTTGCAGAGAGAGTGAACACACTGCAAACATGTGCTAAACTGACATGCCAAAAAGAAGGGGGCACCTTTCTGAACTAATAAGCAAGTAACTCATTACTTTTACAGCACTGTTGGAAGGAAAAAAGCACATATAAATTCCAGCATGGGGGCAGAAAAGACAGTGCTGCAAGYAGCAGGCAACTGAGAGTGCTAAAGGAGCTGCTGACAGCCAGGAACTACCATCTCCAAACAGCCAGGACCCAGCACACATTGGGACCTCTGTCCTTCTCATATATATATATACATATGACCACATGTGACCATCATATATATTCCAGCAAACATCCCCTCTGCCAACCAAGGGAAGGCTTCTCTTCCAGAGCAGGAGCAGGTCAGAGTTTGCAGCTCTCAGTCATTAGGGCTCTTTAATCCATCCTCCTCCTCACTCAGAGGACTGAAGTTGCCATTCAGACACCACTTGACTAAACATATAGCATAAAACACATAGAGATGACCTCTAACATCGTGCTTATCGGCATGCATTACACTTCTGCAAGTCAGTAACTGCCACAGAGCTGCAAGAGTATACATAACAAATAGCCACATTTTTAACCTTATATAGAAACGTCAAGTACAACCGTAAACATTTCTTACCTTCCGATAAATCATATGACACATAGCTACCCTCAGCTTCATGCCAGCCCGCTGTACATGATAGAAGTATAAGTGGTGCATCGTAGCTAGAATAAGAGTGCACACAGAGAGAGCAGCTGCATAGCAGTAAGCAAAATTCAAAGCTTCCTCATCAGAGGAATCATCGTTTTCAAAATAATTAATAATTTTTCCCAAAAATATTGGCTGAACTATTTTGAGGGTTTCCTATAAGAAAAAAGGAAAAAAAAAAAAGAAAGTATAAACAATTTTGTATCATGCTGTGCCACCCAAATCTGCACCCAGGCAAATAAGAAACAAATTACCATCACAAGCCACATCCCACATCACCTTGTTATGATGACACTCTAACATGCCAAGCTGTTTTTTATTAACATCATAAACTAAGAAATACATCTCATAGTAAAAAATAACTGATTCTTTAAAAAGGAACTCCCTCAATTATCAATAAAAACTTCAGAGTTATAATAGCAAGTTACATGAATATATGTTTTGCTTCCGTTTTYCAAGATGAGATACTTCGACACTGCATAATAACCATTTTTTTTCTATGTGCCATCCCATTCAGAAGCATAAAACGCAAGTCAGACCTAAAAGGCAAGTCAGATGGCTTACATCATCTCAGTATGGTRCAGTGAAATTCCATAATGAGACCCGCTGACAAAATATCTGACTTGTTTTTTTCAATCCCTAAGGGAATATATCTCCGCTGTACTTTTCCAAGAGAATTTATGAACACTCCARTTTCTCTGGGCAGCCCAGCATGAAGTCAGCAGTTAGCATCATGCAAGCCAGTAGGCCTGCAGAGTAATTTCACATCACTAGGAAGGAWGCTGTATCGTTATTTGACACCGCTTACCTCAATCATTGTGAAAATTCCAAAAACTAAATAGGATTTCCAATAACACAGTATGATTGCTTTTGTTAAATGTGGCGTTCTTCCATCTTTTTTTGCTTTTTGCACCTCTTTATCCCAGTACCTGAAAAATAAAAGGAAAATATGCTGGAGGATAAGTATAAAACCACAAGGCAATTAGCTAAGCAGATTCAGACCTGCAGTAGATTGCCATGATCACCTCTGTAAATCACTTTTCATCAAGACATTAACAGGATAATAAAGAGTCATGTTTTCTCATTTACAAAAAGCATGTACTTAGCATTACATGCCTCCTTGCTCTCCTGCAGTCACAAGCACAGAGAGGTAGCAAAAATATTTGCTTGGCCACTGTTAACTCCTATGGCCCTTGATGTATTTGTACCTATCTTTCTTTCTTCCCAGATGAGACAACTAGTAACCAGTTCTCTACCACTCCTAACTATGAACTCCTAACTATGGACTAAACCACGCCACATGAGGCATCGTTTTCTTTCTACAGGGTCTGCACTTCCCCAGGGAGGTTGTTGGGCACAATTCCCTTCTTGTTTCTGTCACGTGCTTGGATGAAGAGAAGCGGACATGGCACAAGGGAAAAAGGAACCGACTACAGCTGTTGAGTCACTTACTGCTCCTGACATTTCTCCAAAGGCTGGAATCACAACAGCAGAGTGGCAGGGATCTTGGTGTCACCGCGTGCCTGCCCACAGTGGGGCACAATCCGTTCACATTAAAATCAAAGACAGTCATAACAAATATGAGTTTGTTCAGTTAAATATGAACAAAAACAAAAAAAAAAGATTTAAAAAAAAAAGAACAAAAAAATCATGAAATCAGGGCTTAAGAAGACTCCTTAAAGCTCACTATTGTCAGACAAGATGTTCTCTGTTTCTGTATGCTAAATACTTCGTGCCATGATCCCTGACCTTGCTAGTTGGAGGGCTGAAATTCGTCCAAGACATGAAAGCCAAGGCTATTACTCTGCAACAGGGTACACAAGTTTGAAGCACATAGTAGGGACAGAAGGATGATAGTTTTTAATTTTTTTACTCTCCTTTATGCCACAGAAATTATGAAGTCATTGCTTAAGCACTTCAGCTTCTGAAATAAAATTGTCTAGACTCTGTGGGGTTTGTTGGCTGGGAGGAAAGACACTATTTAGGTGGCTACTTATGAATTGTGTTCTTTGCTTGCTGGACAATACACCAAAGAGAAAAAAAAAATGTTTTTTTGGATGCTGTATTTTCTGCTGCTTCCTGAGTTCAGGGAAAGTGTGCGCTTTTACTGTAAGTCATTGGAAAGAGTTCATCTCCCTGTACAGCCAACCTTCGAAACTGCTTCGAGGAATGACACTGGAATTTGACACGGATCTCCAGTTAGAAAGACAGTAAAGGCTGCATTCCCATGAGTTTATCACCATCATCCTTTCTTCATTTAACCCAGCCACAGCATAAAGATGAAAGAACTGGTCATAATCATTACTTTCTGGAGACTTCCTACTTCTTGAACAGCCTCTCCTCCCAGACAAATTATTGGGAATGTTGATCTGCAAAACTTCTTCCAGCGTAATTGCAAGAGAGCAAGGCTAAGCTACCACTTTCTTAGTTCAAAGACCTCCTTTCCCTAGGAAAAGACTCTACTTCCAATTATATTAAAAAACAATACTTTGAAGACAAAAATATTTTTTCTTAGTGCAAGGTTCAAGATAATTTACAGTAATATGAAGACATTTCACAAATAAGAGAGAGAGAATCTTGAGTTCATAATAAGGACTCCTCCAWGAAACAAGTGCTCAGAGGTCCAAAGCAATTTAGCATTTCAGCACTTATGCATACCTACATAAAAGGTAAACAGCTGTCCCCTCTAATTCCATTTATTCTACAAAACAAAGGACACTATTCTTTTTCCTCATTTCTATATGGAGAAAATAYAAACATTTCAACAGCCACTGTAGTACAGAGTCCCATTAATTTATTAAGGATTCCTTCAGTAGCAGCTAAGTCTTCTGTTCCAAGCACTCCGCAGAGTGCCAAAGGAATAGCAAATGATACACTGAAAAAACTGAAATATATTTTCCTTATCTATAAATGGAGAGATTAAAACGTTTCCATGTAAGTAAGTTCACAGTATTACTCCCTACTATCCAGACGTTTGAAGAAGATACTTTGGTAAACTTTACAGTAACCTCTTTTGATTTCAGAATATGAATACAGTTCTTATCTTCAGCAGCAGATAAGAATAATGAAACAAAGATTTTTTTTTTCCTTACCACTGTAATTCCTCTCCGAGCTTCTCCGAGGAGTCTTCTGGCAACACTTTATACATATCATCTTCTTCCAACCTCCGTTTATGTCCAATAATAAATAACGGATTTAACCACCTGTTTAAATACAAGTTTATTAATAAACTCATCGTTGAACCCGAAAAGTAATTAATTCCTCTGCATGCTAACCTCATTTTTCCGTGCCGTTCTTCCCTCCTCTTTGTGCATGTCACCTCAACATCCCACATACTTCATTACGTTTATCTTCCTAACAGACAAAAACGAGCCTACCTCAATTTTACAAATGGCTAAGACTAGCCCTCATGCACGCAGACCCTCCTAAAAGATAGGTCTGCTCCACAGAACAGATACAAGACAGCAAAGGCAAAAGTGATAATGTTGTTCATGAAAAAGAGAAGGGCATCCACAAACCAAGCCTGGCTCGGTGAGAAGAGAGTGGTCAAGAAAAGTGAAGCTTGCCATAAAGTTAACAAACTATCTATTCATATTTGTTTTTTGGGAGCCAAGGGGCATGAATTTTAGCTCTCAGGTTTGTTCTCTCCACATTTTTGAGGTCATCACACAGGATCAGGGCAAGAAGTCAGAGATGGACAAATACATGTGGAAAAATATATCCCTGCACTCACGGCAAAGTGTTTCCATTTCATGCCAATTGCCTATGAATGTTTCCGACTTGTTTAGTTTCTGATGCAAAGCTGTTCCCTGATTTCACAAGGCAGTCTCTCAAAGGGCAGCCACTGCACTAGAGGGAGCGTGTGACTTTCTGGAAGGCGGCTGGGAGAACGGAAGGCTGTGCTGGTTTGCACCGAGGGCATTTATTTATTTATTTATTTATTTATTTATTTATTTATTTATTTATTCAGCGCCACAGCGGTGGTTACGAAGCCACATCAGAGCTCTGCCTGTCTTGCTGGGGCACGCTCCATCTCACACTGCCGTGCGAGAAGGCTCCTGCGGAGCTCAGAGAGGGATTAATCCAGAGAGGGCGGAGGGGCAGGCCGAGGAAGGGCGCTTGGGGAGGTTCTCCCAAAGAGGGGCCTGTCGCAGCRGCTCCGCGGCATGGTGCCACACAACCGTGGGATCTGTGGTGCTTTCCCTTTGCTGCCTGGCATGGTAGCAGCACAGCCTGCAGTGTCTCATCCAAAGAAAAGGTCTCCAAGATTAGAACATCTTTGGTAGCTAACAGCTCTTTTTACGTTCAGGGGATGGCTCCTGAAGATCTGCTGTATCACACCTGCTGGAGAGCAGCCCCGCAGAGAGGGACCTGGGTGTCATGGTGGATGACAAGTTGACCAYGAGGCAGCAGTGTGCCCTGGTGGCCAAGAAGGGCAACGGGATCCTGGGGTGCATTAAGAAGAGCGTCTCCAGCAGGTCGAGGGAAGTGATCATCCCCCTCTACTCAGCCCTGGTGAGGCCACATCTGGAGYACTGTGTCCAGTTCTGGGCTCCCCAGTACAGGAGGGATGTGGAGCTGCTGGACAGAGTCCAGCGCAGGGCTACGAGGATGATCAGAGGCCTGGAACATCTGCCGTATGAGCAAAGGCTGAGAGAGCTGGGCCTGTTCAGCCTGGAGAAGAGGAGGCTGAGGGGGGACCTGATCAGTGTGTATAAATACCTCAAGGGAGGGAGGGAGGAGGAGGGGGCGGCCTCTTTTCAGTGGTGGGCAGGGATAGGACTAGAGGAAACGGCCACAAATTGAAGCACCAAAAGTTCTGCAGGAACTTAAGGAACATTTGATTGACAATGAGGGTGAGAGAGCCCTGGAACAGGCTGCCCAGAGAGGTTGTGGAGTCTCCTTCTCTTCAAAACCTGCTTGGACACAATCCTGTGCCACATGTCGCAGGTGACCATGCATGTGCAGGGGGGTTGGACTAGATGATCTCTAAAGGTCCCTTCCAACCCTTGCGATTCTGCAATACATGAGCTAAATCATTCACATTAAACATGCAGAGACAATGAGAAAGTTACTTGTTAGAGAAGTTGCTTGTTTCTTCCCTCTACAGCCAAGCAGTGCAACTTTCTGCACTCCAGCCACTGTTACGCTCTCCTTAAAGCTCCAGACCAAAAGCCTCAAAGATCAAGGGCTCCAGACAGCCAAAGAGCTGTGTCTGACTGGGCACAGGAGCTCTACGCTGAGCAGCACGACTGTCCTCTGGGCTTCGACATGGAGAACAGCCCACCTGAACCTGCTCCAGGGAAACCGGCTCCGTGTAGCCCCACGGGAGCCGCAGGTAAGAGCGGACACCGAGCAAGCGACCTCAAGGTCCTTCAGGCCAAACTTCTGCCTGCTGGATGAGAGGCTCTAACTGCTCCAGGACGGACGACGATGGGAAAGAGCCGCAAATTTCACTCGACTCCTGTGGCTGATCCTAATTGCTCCTCCTCTTGCAACATCAGTATGAGCCTCCAGTGTAATCAGTAAATGAGCCACAGATCTCCTTTCTAACAGACTAGAACAGGGGTTGGGCAATCTTCTCCAGCTGCTTGAGCGTAAGAACCACAATGAGGCTGCTTTTCATGAAAACACGAGGATTARTCCTCCTCACAGCAATGCAAGTGGTTAAGAACTGCACTTACTTGTATTGCCAAAGTGGTAAAAATGAAATTGGTCTGTTAAAAAGGAAAATAAATAGGATATAAATGAAAGACTGCACTCGGTTTTACACTGTAAAATTCACTTTGTAGTAAATCTCTTCTCTCATCACCCTAACTAGTCCACATCAAGCAAAGAGTGCACATACTATGGGTACTGATTTCCAAATTAAGTAGCAGGTAGAGATAATGCAGAGTAACAAATGTCCAAAATCTCAAATGAAGACTACTAGTTTGGTCAGAAGTATCATAAATTCAGAGTGCTTCTATTTTTCAGTTAGTTAAAACTGTAATCTCAAAAAGTTACATAGTTGCACTACAAACTCTACTTCAACATTAAAAATGCAAGCAAAAAAAAAAAAGCCAAATTATGCCAAAAGCTGTGGCAATTTGTTTTGGGACTTGTTTATTATAACAGACAAGGGCAAGAACTCAGGACAAACCCACATGTTCTTGTGAGGTTAGGCAGAAAGAGGCATTAAAACAACAACAACAGAAAAGGAAAAGTGAACATCACCATCCACCCTGTGCCTTCCTGTGCCCTTCTGCTGCCTCTAAAATGTGTTTTATTCACCGAATAGCTGCACTTGCAGCCAACACTTACATACTTGAACACCACTTAGGATCTTGGAGAGATGCAGAATTCCATGTGGGATAAGTCACCGTCAGTCTGCTGTTTCTCTGCTCCTGTCTCGATTCCCATGTCGACTTGGCTTAAAATTTCACTTCCAGAGATCAAATAACTAGTAGAGGGATTATAAGATTGTTCTCATAATTTTGACTCTTTTCATATAGATCAGAAAGAAAAACAAATCACAGGATCTTGTGCCAGTTTAAGCTAACCACCATTCTGGATGCAGTCAAATAATGGGCAAAACAAGCTCTGTAACTTGCTTTCTAACTAGGAGGACCTAGCAGAGCACTTTCTACCCTGTTCAAAAAACTATTTGAGAATTCCTAGSCATGCCTCTTTCTTATTACATCCAACTCTTCTTTCCAATTATTAAGCCTTAGGAGCTACCGCTAGAGATGTCTTAATAATACGAAAGTTTTCTAAAAGTAGATTGTGATTCTGTATCCTACAGCTGAAAATCTTCAGAACAAGGCTACAAATTTTTTTTTTTACAAATTTCAAAACACTTTGAACACCGGAGAACTTCCAGCTCAAAATGATGCCTTCTATTGGCCCACCGCAGTCTGTCAGGGCAGTAGGAACAGCTTTAGTCTGCGGCCTCACTGACGGGTCCTGGATCTCCTGCTGCAAGGTCTCCTTTCGGGTAGGAGACTTGGTGAGCGCCCTCACTGTGCCATTAAGGAGTCATCATCAGGATGCTGCACATGAGGACAGATGACGTGATGTGGAATTCAGAATTCGCTCCTCTTAGGACGGCATTGACAACGTCCTCCCGTTTCACCCAGGCTGTCAATACAAGAGCCACACACTCGTGACAGGAATCTGGCTCTTTTCTTGATTAAAGGCTTAGTAARTAAAAAAGTGTGCTGTGAGAAGGGTGTTGGAGCAGCAGGAAATGCAAGGCAATGGCCTAGATAAAGAACATCCCCTGCAACCTTCAATGGCCAGATTTAGCCAGACAGGGACACTGCAGCATTACGTCTGGCCTGTCGAAACAGAGATCAGCAAACACTGATCCCTTTAGGGATTTAAAAAAATATATATATCCTACAGAAAAGTAGATTTCACCATGAATACAGTAACTGCACAAGGTGTATTATGGTTTAATTAAACAAACTCATTTTTAAAAAAGCAAAGATGACACAGAGAAATAAGGAATATAGGGAGACAAAGGCAAACCACTCCTCCCATCCCATGAATGGGTATAAAACAGACCCACTGCTGATCCCCTGGCTGAAGAAAAAGAGGTGAGGAGTGAAGTGGAGGGATAGAAAAGGTTCACAGCTCAGCCCCAAATTTTACCTTCTCTTTCTAAAAAAAAAAAAAAAGAAAAAAAAAAAAAAGGTGTCCCACTTAAAATAAAATTAACAAAAACATGAGACGCCCTCAATTACTGTCATCTCTTTGCCTTGGTATCTTTTTGTTTGCTGAATATTTTGAATAATTATTTGGTTCTTAGGCACCAAGCAAGCAGAACCCTTTTGTTAGCATAAACTGTATATAAAAATGGGAACATTTGAAGAATCCTGAGCACTTTCTGTTCTGCTGGGAAAGGCTTTATTCTCCTAGCAAGGCGATTAGCTGATCAAAGGCATCACCCTGGAAAGAAGCCCAGATTCCCATTACTGCCAGAATACTGATATCACCAGGAATCAAGATTAAAAAAAAAAAAAAAAAAAAAAAAAAGAGAGGGAAAAAGTCACTTGGTGACCTGATGCAACCCAGAAGATGGGCAGTACAAAACAGTAAAACGTCACTCCGGCCCCAAAAGCTTTTCCTCTTCTGCTGCAGTACCTGGGGCACAGAGTTAAAAAAACAATAAAGTGATTCATTTCTGAAGCAACAGATATATAAAGACCACAATATAAAC